CAGCTCTGCGATTGATACCGACTGATGTATCTCTTTAAATATGGCTATGTCGAGGACAGCTAAAGCGCCCCCTTATTTGCTATGTGCGTCTGCCGTGGAGGTGCCAGTACGCGAATGTTGTGTTGATCCGGGTTTATCTGGAGGAATTCCCCATTAGAATTTTCAGCTCGACCGTTCCAAAGAGCGTGTTCGCAGTTAAAATTATGGCAAAGAACGACGGGCAAATGGCGTTGTAGCAGCTTATCCAGAACACTTGTAAGCATCGCCATGTCGGGAGGTTTATAGACGGATGTCACGTCAATCTGTCTCGTCTAACCAAATTGAGACGGATCTCCATCGCCTCCACGCTCTTTGGGTTTAGGAGTGCAACTGGGTGGTGTGATTGATCTCGTCGCACCAGATTAGTTGCTCCACCGTCGCGTCTGTCAAACCGTTTAAGTCGGTATATTGTGTCGTCTACTTCACTTATGAATGCGTCTCGCTTTACAACGCGACATCCGTATCATCACTCTGCCACAGCTGCAGTTGTTCGTTCTTTTTGCAGTGCACACCATTGACATTCCACTGCAAGGATTTCAGGTGGCGTGGTGGACGGGTTTTAACAACCATTTGTGGTGCTAATTGCTCGAAGAAATGTACTAAGAGCAGTTGCGAGTGGCTCCAGTTACTTTATTTTAAGAACCTCTCACTCTACATATACAAGAATTAGGATTAAATAGATTCTTATGATTATTACCTTCCTGTAAGGCCTCTGAGTTAACTCATTCAGTATCCATATATGAGGTCATTGGGCCCTTATTCTCGTGATTTATTAGTGCATTACTCAAGGTATTTTCATTTAACGGAACTCAACAAAACGCCATAATTGGTATTTATTTAACACTTAATTATACATATATTATATATCTCTATATTTTAGCTCATGTTAATATACTTTTATTTTATACGTTTTATAGAAATTTTGATAGCGTGCGGAGCCACGAATCCCTTAAGGACCCATTGCTCCATCCACGGGAGCGTTGCGCTTTATTATCACAGCACAATTGGTTTTATAAAGGCTAATTAAGCAATTTTTATATACCTTTACAGAAGGATATATAAATCATTTTCGTTTAAGTATGTTCAATTTAATTATATATTATTTAAATAAACTGTTTATTCTGGTTTTCTTTAAAAAATGTGATGCATCAGTTATTGCCATATTTGTATTTAAAAATATGTAGTCAAATTATCTAAAAATTAAATCATATATCCCTACAAAAATTAGTGTATGTTATTTTGTTTGGTTTGTCTTAGGTTAGGATTAAAGTTAAAGTTAAAATTTTTTGTTTTTGTTTGTTTATTATGGTATATATGTACTTTTTTTTTTTGAATATTTTAGTGTTTTGTGTAAATATTTTGATAAATTGCGATTAAAATTCAATTAAGCTATTTATCTGAAGTATAGTAGTACAGTGATCTAGTTTAAAAAGCTGATATAAAGGTGCCCTGAAGTGTTATTAAAATAGAGTTTACAGAGTTTTAAAATGGGGAAGATATAAAGGACACAAAATAATTAATAAACTTTACGCAAGATTGGGAATTAGGCCAAGGAAAAAAGTAATGATGGGATTTTGCAAATAGTTTTAAGTAATAATTATTTTTCATCTTTAGGACCTTTTTTAAGTCTCTAAACAGGAAGTTTCTGAGCGAAGTTTTTCACTTCAAAAAGCTGAAAGGGCCAACGCTATTACTCATATAATAACATAATTTTAGAATAAACAGCGAACCAGTTATTATGTTGGTTATAACGCTATAACAGTTTCCATTTATATTCTCTTTGGAAGGATATATATGCAATAAAATATTTCTTTTAAAATAACATTTTTTAGTCATTAGTCATATAAAGCCTTTTGTTATTTCCGTATTTGATTGATTTTTCTAATTCGTATAATGATAATATTGTTACTCCTGTAATGGCACTCTCACAGGTAGTGACTACGAAATGTGTAAATATATCTATTTTTTTTTTTAAGAAGGAATATATATAACTATAAATTATACAGTCTATTTAACCCTTTAACAGGTAAAGCTCTGGGGATTAAAATTTTTTTTACATCCACTGGTAATTAAATTTACCACTTTTTATTTGTTGGTTGCTGTTTAATCCGTTAGAAAATGGTACTCGAACTTACCAGATATTGTTTCAGAGACTGAACCTGTCGTTTCGGGTTCAGTCCCCATAAACCTACTCTTGCAAAGTGAACCTAGGCGAGAAGTGGTAGTCAAAGTAACTAGTAACCTATAAGGGGTTAACACACCGTAAATAGGCGGCCCTTTACACCACAACACCCTCCAAGCAGAAGCAAAGGTCGAAAAAGTTAATCTACGGGGCTTGCTACATTGATAGATGCACGTGTAAACAGTCACGCCCATTCGCTAGCTACGGACAAAATCGACTAAAAAAATACCGCTGATGACCAAAAATTCTAGTACAAAATAACAAAGATTCGTAATATTAAGATTATATACACAATCTCGTGAGCGTAAGATTCATAGGATTACAAGAAAGGTGCTATAATAATCACGAATACAAATTCTATAGTACAGATTATGAGTTAAACGGCTATTTATTAATAACATTCATTTCACTGTATTGGCGTATTATAGCCCAACTTTAAGACAATATTATATTTTGTTAGTTGTTGTTTATAGTCCTCTGTGAGGATCAGGCTGTCCTGTCATTATGTTTTTTTTTAAGTTTCAAATAAAGCTATATCTATTTTTACTTAAAACTAAAAACTTTACCCCTTCTTTTTTTAAGCAAAAAACGCTAATAAATGAGGAAAGTACCACCTAAATAGTAAGATCACTTTACCAGCTTATTTAAGTCAGAAAGCAGTAGAATATGTTTAGTGGGTCCTCGCTATTAATCGTAGGTACTTCTGATTAAATTTTTTGACCCAACTTCTTAATCTTGAAGTTTAAAAGGAGTTTAAAAGTTACCGTTTACAGAGTGTAAAAAATTTATTGCGATATTGTATCGAATGGGTATAATTAAGATTACACAGAAAGATTTGTGCTCGGATAGCTATAAATCTTTTACGGAATAAAAATAGAATCAGAACGATTCCACAAACACAGTAAACTAAACAAATATTCGTTAAGCCCATAACAGTTTCAAGCGTGTACAGTTATGTTTGCTCAATATTTTAAATAGGGTTCTATTCGATGCTATCATGCTAACTGAACTTGTTGGTCCCTTGCCGTTTTATAAAGTCAAACTGAAGATAGTATATTAATATTTTCAAAAGGTTGTCTAAATCGTTCAAACAATTTTTTTTTAAATATGAGTTCATGAAAAAGAACAAATGAGGTAATATGTATTGAAAAGAAACTGATTCTAATTGCCATATAAAATGTTTAATATAAGCCTAAAACTTTTTTAGCATTAATAATATAACGCAGATAACGGTTAACCTTAGCATTATTAATTACATATTGTAAAAAATAAAACTATAAAAGCTGATAAACACGTAATTATTAAATAAATTAAATAGGAACCCAGGTTGCTGTGTACCTAAAATTCAGTCTTTAAGAGGACGCAAATGCTTATATGTATCACAAGTTTGTAACAAAAAACCTCTTTCAATAGACACCACGTAATATAACTGCACTATAAATTTAATTAGAAAATAAATAGTTGTCCTTAGCAAGGGCTCCTCCCTTCTGGCAAGGAGCTCATAGTCGGGGAGGTCGACTGACAGGTGACCTCGGGTCTTGTGCTTAAGTCTGCCTCTCCAGGTGGTGGTTTTTTAGCAGTTTTCCACTACATTAGATCAAATGGCGGGAATACGGGCCCGATATTTTCCGCTTTTTCAGTCCTTCGGATACTCATTATAACTCTCTAAAGAGCGTACACTGGTGCGCACTTGTACCCCAACCCCTGCAGAGGAGAGGGATTCAGATTAAGCGGCTTAAGGTTTCTAACAAAAACCGACCGTAGTAGGTCAGTACTAAAAAAAATAAAATAGTTGTTTTCACTTATAGTTGTTTTACTCCTAAATTAAATTAATAAAGTTATAAATCAATTTTTTATAGACGAGAAATGTAAAAAAAAATGAGTATTACTTTCATATACTTAAAAATTAATATTACAGTAGAAGGCACTATAGAAATGCCTTACATATATGTTTAGTTTCTGGTATGAAGCTTAAACTTTTGCCTTAACTCAAAGTAGTATATTAAAAACGAACTTTAGGAACTCGTACTAAAAGTAGCCCGCTAGTTAAAAGTTAACTTATGTCGAAAATATTCTTTTTTCGTATATAAAAACATTTCATTGCCTTTTGAGAAAATTTTTAATTTAAGAGTCAAGTTGTTTTAGTGCTATACAACGTTCAAAATAATTTTTTTTAGAATTCTTATTAGCTCTTTAACGATTAAAATTTCTGGGGCCTAAAATAAATTAGTTTTTTCTGCGACCTCATTACATTGAACTTAGGGGCCAAGTGGTAAACATAGAAACCAGTAACCTATAAGGGATTTAGTATATATCACTACTTAGCGGGTAATTTCAGCTAAAAAGTATGTTTATTTTTAATACCATACAAATTTAAACAAAAAACCTTTTTAACTTTCAAAACTGCCACGAAGATGTTTTCCAAGTTACTTACTATTGCATTTTTGCAAAACTCTTTCAGCAGCTAATTGTTGATATCCAAGTTTATTAAGCTGTTTTTATATTTCATTAAGCAAAAGTTAACCACATTGTTAATGGTTCTTAAAAAGGTATTTTTTTATATGGCACCGATCTATATAAGATAGAAACGGGGCCCTCCTACTTCTATTGCTTTCTGCTGTTCAAGGTAGGCGGTGTTTTTGTAGCTTGTAAGTTACTTGAAGGGTTAAAACTTACTCTAATAAATTATTATTACTAAAACTTTGTGGTGATTTATTAGAATACTTATTAAACTTTTATAAAAAGTTTTTTTTTTACGTGTTTTTTTAATTTAGTAAAAATTAATGACGTCGGTTAAGGCACTTCATCTTTACGATCACTGTCCGTTTTGCGTTCGAGTTGAACTTGCACTCGGCTGGATGGTGGCCTCTATAAAACTTTTAATATATTTACTTTGAAATTATATATGAAAGATGTTGCGGAGTCGCAGGTTTTTATTATATTTTTGTATAGGAAATTAGCTATCAAAGAATATTTTATGGCTACGGGGATATGGAGGGGCCTAAAAAACTTACTGGAAAAAAAATACTTCCGGTGCTTGAGGATTCTGATGGTTTTTTAATTTTTCTAATAAATATAGAGAATTTTGAATTAAAATTAATTTTTATAGGCAACTACCACGCGGAGTCGCTGGATATTGTCGAATGGATTCAAAAAGCTTATCCTGATAAACTTTGCCTTGCTAAGCAGAGGTACTTAATTTTACTAACTAAAATTTTACATTTATGGAATAGTTGTTGCTTTTAATTTACAATGAACTAATCTAAAGATTTTTATAATTGCTAATTTATATTTTTTTTAGCGAAAGAAAAGATTTAAAATCTTGGTTTGAGCGGTTTCAGCCCGTTTCTTCTTCTCTCACGTGCCCTCGTCTTTGCAAGCTCACTCAGTATGATAACTTTTTTTAAAATTTATCATAATTAAAAAGATTTATGATTAAAAAAAATCAAGTAGAAATTTTTATTATAGCAAATGGATTTAGAAGATTACTGACTTTTTAAACATTTACTATTTGATATTATAATATAAGAATACTAAAAGTTTTCTATAAATATGTTTTTATAAATACTGATAGTTGTTGATAAAATTAAAATGTAATCGTGAGAAAGGTAATTTTATAAAATCTTGGTAATTTAGAAATTAAACACATCGTGATAATAATACTATTATATAAAAAGTGATTAACAATTATTAGAAACTGTTATTTTTATAATAAATATAAAAACAGTTAAACTGTAACATATTTTAAAATATAATAAAATATCATATATAATAAAAGTAAAGTGATTAATATAAACTTCTATAGTAATAAACTTTTTTTTATTAATATTGTTATATAGAAATTGTATACAATAATAGTTTGCTTTCAAAAGGGAATAATAGTAATTATTATAATAAAAAAAGGGGTTACTAAGAAAATAATAATATACAAATAAACGATGTTATAATAATAACGAAAAGTGTAAACAATAATAGTATAATATTATAGTAAAAGTAGAGTTTCTAATAATGTAATAATAATAATAATAAAATAAACAAAAAACATGTAATAATAATATTAATAATAATAATTATAATATACTATTATAAATAATGAAGCAAAAAGTTTCTTTTATAGTTTTATATAATAAAAAAGTCAAATATTTTTTTAGACTGAACAGAAGATAACTTTTACTAAAAATATATTATATTAAAAAAGTATAATATTAATGTATATATTTTTTATTACTAATAATAAAGTATGTTATATTATTTTTATGTTTTATAGTTTTTTTATAGTCATTATTGTAATAGAAATAAATTAAAATTATTTTTTTACTGACGAAAGTAAATAATTTTAAATATATATTATATATAATATTTACTATTAAATAATATGAAGTATAATAATAAAAATATTTATTATTAGAATAAATATTTTAAATATATAGTTTTTTAGTTATTATTTTTTAATAGACTTTTTAATGATAAATAAATATTTTTTCTCTGAAGGAAACTTAATAACTTTAAAATTATGAAATGTACTAATAGTAATAAAATCGAAAAGTATAATAATGCTATTTTTATTATCATAATAAATATTTTTATTGCTATGAATATTTTTCAAATCCATTATAATTATAATAAACTTTTTAAAAATAAAAACAAATAATATAAAAAAAAAAAAACTAAAAACTGTAAAGGAAGCAACATGCGAATAACTAAATATTCTTATCATCATTATAATAACTATAAATATTGATATGTCCTATTTTATTTATTATTAGTAGAATTACCATTATAATAAGAAATATTTATAAAAATAGTAAAGGCTTATAAATAATTCGCAAACTTTATTATTATTATTATAATAAATTTAAGTATTGATATTAAGGGCTGTCTTCATAGTGATAATAATAATAATGTCACTACTATTAAAATGTTTTTTTTTACTTTTGCTTTTTATATTTTTTGTAAGCTTGTTATTTTCTGCTCAAATAATATTAGTTTTTACTTATATTTATCGCTTTACACATTAATATTATTCGATTTTTTACTGTTTGATATTATAAATAAATGATACTAATTATTATTTTTTTTATTATATTTTATTAGTAAATAATTATTGTTATTATTTGTAATTTATGAATATTTATTGCTTTTCATTATGAAAAAATACTAAAACTTAAATTAATAATTATTATAACTTGTTCGAATTATTAATGCAAAAGTTTAATATCTAAAAAAAGCAAAAAATTAATATTACTGTATTTTTATCAAAACTTTATTATATTTAATAACTTTATTATTATTGTTGATCTTACATCTCGAACACTTCAAGAACTAATACATCATATAAATATTGAGAGTGATATACTCATAAAAATAATATAGAGTTGGTTAAAAATATAAAGAGATGTATAATTTATTTGATTCTTGAGCCGCTTAAGTAGCACAACGTTTACCTCCTCGCAGGCACTAATTACAACAACAACGACAAAAAAATAAGGTACGGTGCTCGTGGCATCCCTTAAATCATTAATTAGGGTTGTGCCCTTAGGCGGTAACCCTAATTACATATAACAAAAAAAACTGTTCCAAGTAAAAAAAAAACTTTACAAGGAAAACTATAAAACTTTTTATAATAAAATATTAAAGATTTATTTTATTGATTTATTTTTCTAGCTCAAAACATTTTTTTAATAAATTTTTAGTTTTATTATATATCATTTTGGGATTTACATATTTTATATAAAATTATTATTTTTTATTATTTATTTATTACGAATAATATTGTTTTCTTTATTATTATAACTTTATTTATAATTATTTTTATTATAATTATATATTAATTTAGTCTTTTCTATATTTATATGCATTTTTATTTAATTTTTTAATACTAATAAATATTTTGCTTTCATTTATTATTTATATAAATATATTATAGTTGTTTTTTTTTTTTACTAATATATATATATTTATAACTTTTTTTAAATAAAGTCTAAAGGATTTTTCTACTAAAGAAGATGTAGAATATCATCATTCCAAATATGAAAGTCGAAACGTTGATTTAAAAGTTTTTTAATAATAATAAAACTGATGTTAAAAAGTTTATTATATATTTTTTTTCTATAAAACAAATAGAAACTTTACGACGACTCACCAAAATATATAAAAGAAATGAACTCTCTACTTTTCGAGTTTGATAAGAATTTGTTACAATCTTCGTAAGTTTTTTTATTATTATACTTTTTTTTATTAAAACGTAATATAATAAAAAATATTAATATATATATTTACAAGAAAATATAAAAATAATAAATTTTTTTGTAAGCAAAAAGAGAATAATAACTTTGATAACTTTTTTTAATTATAATAAAGTTTTTATTTTCTTACTTTTTGCTATATTATTGCAGTACAGAAGTTTATATATATATATATACTTTTATTATATTTATTTTAATATAAAAACAAATAAAGTTTATTATTTATTATAAATTTTTTATTTTTTACTGTTTTTATATGCTCATTGTTTTTCTTTTGCAGTAATATTTATTAGTTTTTATTAATAAAAATTTATATAATATTTTGTTTATTCTTTACTCTTCTATATATATATATTAGTACAGAAAAAAAGTTTGTATGTTTTGCTATTCATTTATAAGAAATATTTTTGTTTGGCTTTTGTTTACTTTTTTATTAATTGTTCATACGTAAGTTTATTTACTATTTTATTATTAATAATATATTAAAATATAAGTTTTATTATTTATACTTATTATATTATTATACAAATGAAAAGTTTTATTATTTTTTTTTCGTTTAGTTTTATGTTTACTTTTTTTATTAATATTATCTTTTATTTACTTTTATATTTATATTTACTACTTCTACATAATTTATTGTTATTATTTTATTATAATAACTCTTAGTTTTTATATTTACTATTAATATATATATGTTTATATTTTATTATACTTCTAGTTATTTATATATTTACTTTTATTTTTATATTTACTATTTACCCTTAGAAGTTTACTTATTATTGCTATATATTATATTTTATAATTATTTTTATTTTTTTATATATTACTTTTTTAGTTTTATATTACTATTTATATTTATAAGTTTATTTTTTATTATTATATATATTTTTTTACTTATTATTATTACATGTCCAATATATTTATCATAATACGCTTTTACTTTCTATTTCTGTAAATATTATTATAGAACAAACAAAAGTTTTGTATGTATTATGTATATAATTAATCATAAAAATGAAATTTAATATTATTGTTATTAATTATTTACAATTATTATATAATTTTTAATTTTTTTATATTTTGTTATTTACTTTTAGTCTTTATATTTACAACTTATTTATACACAATTAAAATTTTTATATTATTATTTTTATCTTTATAATTTATATATATATTTTTTCTTTTTATTGAATTAATAAAAGTTTGTACATCATATTATCTAAAAATATTTAATCATAATTATAATTATAATATTTTTGTTCCCTTTTAGCTTTATTATTACTTTTTATATATATACAAAATCCGTTTATATTTGTTATATATTTATTATTATTATAGAAAAGCTATAACGGGTTCTTCCTATTCGATGGATGATATTATATATTGTAAGTCTCTTTTCTACTTAAAATTTCTCTTTGCATATAATATTTATATTATAAATACTTTTTAAATTAATTGTTTATATATATTTTTATATTTATTTTACTTATTATAAATATTAATAACTTTTATATATTATACTCGATTTTATATTTATTTATTAAACAAAAATAAACTTTTTTCTATATTTTAGTTAATTTTTAGTCATAAAATTTTTTATTATACAAGCGGAATTTAGTTATTTTTTATTAATTTTTATTGCTTATTTTTTGTGTAGTTCCGATTATTTTTTATAAGTATTATATTTATAAACTTTTGTTCTTTATTAATTTATTTTTTTATAAAACTTAAATATTGGCACCACTAAATTTTCTATATTACTATTACCCTAATAAAAATTGGTTGGTAGCCAATCAGAGCTAGCAATAACAAATATTAACCAATTCGGCTTGTGGACGCGTTATTTATAGTTTTACAGTTTTATAGTTGGCTACAAATTTTACCAATAAATAAAATTAAAGCGTTTTATTGTATACATTTATATATATAATATTTTTTTAATCTTTTTATCTTCAATATAATTTTATTCATTAAAAATTTTATTTCACCATTTTATTTATATTTTGTAAATTTTTTTTATTACCAATCTTCATAATTTTAATTCTTTTTTAGTACAAGGAGTGTAATATATAGCGCGTATGCCAATGACATGGATGTAGGGAGCAGAAATAGGTGTATAGAATTGCTTTTACTTACGCTACAACGAAAATGGGTCTTATAATTCATTAAAATGCATGACTGGTTTTATAATAGCCGTCATTGACTATTATAAATCACGAGACGTGCCTAAATTCCGCTATGTGTTATTGGTTTAAATATTTTTTACAGCATTTTTATTTATATTTTAATTCATTTTCATTCATTTATTTATGTATATACTTATCTTTTTATTTAATACACCACAAATTTAACAACATTCACTATATTTATATATATAAATTTCTTTTACAAAACTTTATTTTTTTATTTTAATGAAATTTTTTTAGTAATAATTTAAATTTTTATTAGTGCCTTGGCTTCGCAATATTACCGTTGTGAAGGGCGTGGAGTTTCCTAATAAACTTAAGGAATACGTGACAAACGCGTGTCGTGAGGCTGACGTCCAATTATATACCAACTATGCTTGCTAGAATAAACATCGCTTATATTTTATTATGATTATTAATAATAACTTATCAGGGAACAACTTAACAAAAAAAGTTTTTATTTTTAATATAATGATTTACTTAATTACAATATTTTTAAAAAGGCATTATTATTATATATATTATTATATATTTGGAAGAAACTTTACTATTAATATTATTGATAAAAAAATATTTAACAAAAGAAAATAATAATTATTATATTTATGATTTACTTTATCGTTATAATTAGAAAATCGCATTATCATTTTATAGAAGAATAACTATATTATTATTTATTTTAAAAAAATTAGACAAAATGAATATATTATTGTGATAACTTTAGAAAATCGTATTATTATTTACTTAGGAAAACCTTTCTTGTTATTTATTATTAATACAGCGATATTAAAAACTGTATTATTTTTGTTATCCTAAAAAATAATTTAAAAAAGTATTAAATTATGGTATTTAATTATATTAACTTCGAAAAATGGCGTTATTATTTATTTGAAAAAACTTTATTATTATATATAAAAATAACTGTTTTTTTATTTTACTATAAAAACTATTGAAAATGGCAATTTAATTAGTAATTTGGGAAAAACTTTATTAAGATTTACTTAAAAAAATTAAAAAAGTGAAAATTTTAGTTATAATTTACCTTATTTATAATTATCAAATTTATAGTTTATTTTTTTATCATCACTTAAAAGACTGGTATTAATATTATCATCAAAAAATATTTTAAGAATAAGTTATGCTTAAATTATTTTGTTTTAAACACTAAAATTGTCCATTTCTAATTTTTTAATTTTTAGAGCTTATAATATATATATTTTTATTTATTGTTATTATTCATTAAAGACTATAAAGAAAAGTAGGTTTTACTTAACTTATTCTTACTTTAATTTTAATACTTTTGTAATTGGCATTTTCCTTATTTTTTAGCTTATTAATATTTTTTGCTGAATTTCTATAACAGATTTATTATTATTTTTTATTTAAAAAAAAAAAAAATTAACATGCAAAGTTTACACTTATTTATTAAATAACTTACTTAAATCATAATAATTTTGAAATTGGCATTTTTCTTATTTAGTTAAGCTTATAGATATTGTAGCTAAATTAATGTAAAAAACTTTCAAGAAAGTTATTAAAAATAATTTATCGTTTTAATTTAATTTTTTAATACTTTGAAAAAGGCTTTTTTTTCTTTTAAGTTATAGTGTAGCTTAATTATTGTTATAGACTTAATTTGAATCTAGTAGTTTCATTTTTTTAACTTTTATTATCTGTTAAAGTTTTTATTAATCTGCGAAAATTAATAGATTAATTATATTTTCTTTTTTCTAAGAACAGTTAATAATTATTATTTATGTATTTTGTATTATTATACAAAATATATATAAAAAGATTATATGATTATGAAATTTTCGGTATATATTTTAAAACTAAATTCATAGATAAAAAATTTATTGTTAACAATATTATGTATGCATTAAATTTTATAATTTAATTTTAAAAGGAAAATTGTTTTTCAGCGCACGAAATTTTGCGTAATATAATAATTTATGTAGTTATTAAAGTTTTTGTTATATTATTTCTACGTTAAATTTCGTTACACCGATATTAAACTAATCATAGTTTGAGACCTTTTAAAAAAAGTGTATAATTAAAAATATACAAATAAAACTTAAAACTTTCCTAGCAAAGTCGAGAGCGCTAACTGCTACACAATAAAAAATTTAACATTACATAATTAGAAGATATACGAAAGTAAGTAACAAATTTAAAAAATATATAAATGTAAGTGTAACAGATATAATATATTTATTATATCTTTTTTCATAAAATCTCATATTACTGCTATGAAAGTTAGGAAAAGTGGATTAGATTTATAGTAAATACCTTTGAATCCTTGTATAAGCCAAAACTTTAATAAAAACACTTATTAACAAATACTTGCCAGCATATTTATAATTCTGGCTCTTTATAAAAAAATTCTTGCCGGTACACAAGCTTAACATTTTAATTTTTTACTTATATTAATTCTTTTTTCAATTTTTTTAATGTTTAAAAAAACATATAAATAAAACCTTTACATTGCCACACCTAAAAATTTATAATTAACCTGTTAAAAAAGATTAGTTGAAAATTATCTATTCGTATAAGAACGTTTAAATCTAATAAGAACTTTATTTATCGCCGGAAAGTGTGTTATAAGTCAAAATTGGAAGTTAAATTTTTTAAATTAATTTTTTTTTATCAAGTTGGGGCGGCAGGCAATTTTTTTAGTACTAAAAAATTTGAAATTCTTGATAACTTTGAGCACAAATTGGTTAATCTTGACTTTCCACTAGAATTTAACTGCTAAAAGAATATTCATACTATCCAATATATTTATATAGAACATATTTGGAAATAGAAGTTTTTATATGCATTATTAATTTCTTATTTTTATGCAATTAAAGTTTATAGGATGCAACCTTACTTCTTCCTAACCACAAAACAAAAATAATTCAATATTTTTTTTCATAAAAAAAGAAAGCTCAAGCGCAGAATACTTAATCTTAAATTCCACTAGAGTTTTACCAAAAAGTATCTTAGTTGCTCCGATGTATTATATATAAAACGGCAATATCTTTACAATTTATTTATTGATAAGTATTAATATTATAGTTAAGAGCAGTTAAAGTTTTTGAATGCATCCTCACATTTTGTCATTAATCACTAAGTAACACGCAAAACAAGACCATTTTTGTCTTGAATAAAAAAAAAGGTTTAGGAAGTGTAGCATAGTGGTTCCAAGGTATTTTTATAGTACGACATTTTTATTATAAATTAACCTTTTATATATATAATATATTAATAATATTCTTTAGCCGTTTAAGTTTATAAGAATGCAGCTTTACATAACCCAAAACGCAAGACAACTTTTTTTTTCACAACTTAAGAATAAAAAGTCAACGTTTCCTTTTAAACTATTATAACGGCAACCACCCCAGAAGTTCATAACTACCTTCGAAGCTCGTGCCCTTCTGCGTTCCAGTAGGAAAGTAACTTTTAAGATAAGAGCGATAAGGATTTTAAAAAAAGGTTTGGTAAGTCGGTCACCATATTAAAGTTTTCTTTGTAATAAGTAAAACTTTATTTTTCTGTGATCCATTTTTAATATGTCTTAATTTTCTTTGCTTAAGTTTATGAGTAAGGAATAAGGTTTTTTTAAGGAGATACTACAAAAATTTTTTTACGATAAAAGGTGTTCTTATAAAATGAATAAGTTTGTATATTTAAAAAAAAATTGTAAACATAATTTTGGCTTTAGTTATAGTTACTTAATTATGACAATTTAAAAAAGAAAGTTTTGTTTTTTTAATTTTTATTATTTTAAAAATAATTTTTCTTTCTATTAAACTTTTATTAAAATATCACGAAAATTATACTCCTACTAAATAGGTAGCCCTACTCAAGAAGAAGTATTAATTTATAAATGAGCGTGTTTTCTTCTTTTGAAGGCCAGCCCCAGCTTGTATACGGCATTTCAGCTTGTCCTCCGCAGTTTTTAAATACTTTTAATAAGGCCGTTAACACTTTAGACGTGAAATTATCACCTGATTTAAATACTTCTTTGAATTATGAGAATTTTTGCGAAAATAAAAACCAAAATATCGTCCCAGAATTACAACTTATGTTGGATGAACTCCCCGCTAGAAAACAATGCCAGGCCATCTCCAATGCCATCATAGCTAACGATTGTAAAACGTTAGCTTTGATCCTAGCCAGAGTTACTCTAGCTAACTTGAAAGATTTTAGAATTTTGCCCTTAATATTAGCAGCTAAACTTTGTAACACTAAAGCTTTAGCTTTGCTATTGCAGAAGAATATGACAGACGTCAACTGCCAAGATGAACGAGGTTGGACGCCGTTACATTGGTCGAGTGTCTTAAACAATATGGAAGCAGTTTTTATTCTCTGCAAAGCTGGAGCTGACGTAACAGTACGAACGCGAGGAAACCAAACTGCAAAGGAGCTCGCATTACTTCGTAAAAGATTAGAAGTGGCACAATTTCTGGCTAAAGAAGAGCTTCAAAGGCAAAAACCACCGCAGGAAGACCTAAAAATTTCCAAAAGCAACAAAGAAAATAACCCAAAGCAAAGTTCTAGTCAAACGAATCGGCTAAATTTTCACCCACCGCAATTAAAATTTCACAGAAAAAGTTTTGGAGAACCGAAAGTTTGTGTGGAAGAGCAAGAACAGAAGTCGAATGCCAATAATAAAAAACGTGTTTGCTTAGAATGTAAAAGCATTAAGACTCCACAATGGAGGCGGGGCCCTGATGGGATGGTTAGTTTATGCAATGCTTGTGGTTTAAAGTTTATGAAATATAAAAGAAAAGATCAAGAGTTTCTAGATCCGTTTGTTGCTTTAACATTGGAAAAACAAAATTAGTGCTTCTAAATATTTAAAAATGTAAATAAACAAACAAACAAAATAAACTTAAACATTTTTAATTTAAACAAAAACTAAATATTCCAACCACGAAGAACTATTTTTAAGTTAAATTTTTCTTTTTGGTTACTAATAAAGCAATAACTTTGTTCTTCTCGACTAATTATTTTAGAAATTAGCTTATTGCAAATCAACTCAAGGTACTTACAATCGCTATTTTTTAGCGATTGTAATTTATATAATCTAAAGACTGCGCGTGTTCAGCACATATATTATCTATGCTACTATTTTTCTTTTAAGTTTGGCGACTTTGTTTGTCATAACAAGTATATAGCAGTATAGCACAAAATGTGGCTCTTCTAAAGTAAAAAGTCAAGACTTGTTAAGGCTATTACCCGTCTTCCTTCTAGAAAAAGAAGACTTCTAATATTCATATCTACTCGTATGGGGCCAAGACAATATGCAGATCGGCTTTGTGAATAAAGAAAACGGGGCAATTTATCAAGGGAAAGTACTCTGTTGTATGACAGAAAGACTAGATTTGTTCCAGTTATTAAAAAATTATACTAAAAACATAAAAATTACCTCCATGTCAACCTTTTGTAAGCCGTTAATACCGCAAACATAAAAAACTAATTACATATGACTAAGACAATAAAATTTTTCCAATACTATAATAGCAGTTAACCACGCTAAAAATCTTTTAATTACTGACGAATACAATTTCTTATAACAGTATAACCTCGAAAACATTTGAATAACAAAAAGGTGAGCCTAGAAAATAAGGTATCAGCGAAAAGATACAATAATATCTGCTATAAAGAACTAAATGTAACTTAAAATTAATAAAACCAAAGAAAAAAATACTATCCTAAACCTATACCTCCGAATTTGAAAAGTTTACAAACCGAAAGCTCTCAAGAATGTTAATTTGATTAGTATGTACTTACCAAGTTCACCAATCACGAAACTTTATTTCAAAGGAAAACCTTGTCGGCTGCTTATAGTCCATCTGATCTTCCGCATTATAATTAGCTTCTCTAAGTCAGCAACACCATTTTAAACCTGGAGAAACTCTCCAAGCAGGGGTCGCCCTGTATAGACACCTAAAAAGCGAAGCTTTCGCCCTGAAAAAATATCAGCTAATATGCGTGAGCATACTTGAATGAGAAAGTGCAAACCTTCACCCTTTTAAAAAAAGTAAAACTAATATATATATACATTTTTTTTAAGCACTGGCATACTACAGCCGGTCTTCGTGGAGACCTTAAACTGCTTAATCTAAATTCCCTCTTTTGCAGGGGTTAGGGCACGTGCAGGCTTTTTGCCTATCCCAAAAACTAAAAAAGGAGAAATATTCGGCCCGGGCTCCCATATTTGGTCTAGTGTGGTGAAAAACCGCTAAAAACTACCACCGGGAGAGCCAACCTAAGACACCGGTCAGCAACATAGCCAGCCAGACCTTTCCGATTATGAAAACCTCATACTAGAAGGGAAGGAGCCCTTAATATAATATTTTTAGTTTTGGTAAACCTTTTTTATATCGAAATCCCACAAAAAACTCCTCTATTTCATCTTCCATTTTAGTTCCCCGTGCTTATGGGATCCACATATGCTCAGCTTCGGAATTTCGGATTTATATATTACAATGTTATCATATCATAGTAATAAATAATGAAATTTATAAATTATTAATTTCTTGTAAAGTTTTAAAAAAATTTATGAAATATTATCTAAAACAGTAATTCCCACAAAAGTTTATATTATAAAAGTGTGAAATTTATAAAGTACAACATTGTGAAAAGAATGAATTAAATTTTATATTATAAACAGTTTTTATGAATTTAGAAAAGATATGTAATTATATAATAATAGATACTAAAAAAGTTTAATAAAATTATAATTAAACCTACTATGAAGTTAAATATTTATTCATATCTTGACAAAAGCCATTTATATGAACAAACGCTAAGCCTTTGACCTCGTATTACGCAAAAACTCCTACGCAAACTAGGCGCATTAGGTACTTCAATTATTTTATCTAACAAACTCGAAAGTTAGCTCTGCGTTGTCGTCTTCCGCTAACTCATATATCTGGTATCCGCAAAACTCTGTTGTCTGCCTCCGCACTGTACATATTGGACAGTCCAAACTCTGCCTATTCTCCCACTCGGGTCCCACTTTACGCGGATGGCGCAGCAACCCCCACGTTTTTAAAAAGTCCTTTACAGTCACGCTATCTACGCTACTTGAAAACACTTGTTTATCGCTGTTGGTGGTGTACTATACTTAATAATGTTGAAGAAAGAATAGCAATTCTTATTTAATAAAAAAATGCATTCGCTACCTGCGGTTAGTAAAGCTGATACTTGAGCGTCAACATTGAAAAACGTTTAGTATTCGAAGCGGCCTACGCACCCTCTCCGCCGCCGTGTACAAAAAGCAATGTGCCCCTGCGCAATGAACTGCGTTCTTTAAGCATGCGTACGTTCTGTCAAGGTCTACTAAATATTTTGCTTGGATGTACAAAAAACTAGTGGCAGTTTGCATTCTATTGAGTATATTCATGTGAGCAAGTGAAAAGTCAGGAACAAAAATTATATTTTAACTAAAAGTTAAATGCAGAAGAAAAATTAAACACAAAATAGAACAGGTACATTTTTTTTCTATCCTGTTTATTATTACCCTTTTTATTTTTTATGCCTATTACTTTCTTCCTGCAAATTTTAGCATTATGGAAAATTGATCGAGTACTTCACTTAAATTTTAAACTTAAAGTTTTTTAAATCTAAAGTATATTGGATTTTTTTTATCGTTATTATTCAAAGTTGCTATAGACAACACCCGTTTGGGGATTTCTTTTACAATTTAGGCTTGTAGCTTTTTAAAAATTAACGTTCAATAAAATTTCTTAAAGTTGTTATCAGATGCGTGTCTTATGGAAAACCACTCGCTCCTTATTAAATTTAATATGAAGCTTTTTAAATATTGAAAATGAAATAGATTCCTCAACTTTATTATTTATTTAAGGGCTTTAAAATAAATTCTAGTATGTTTAAACCAGAAGAGTATATATTTAGTTTTCAAATTATGAGCATTGAAATATTGAATATTAAAATTTTTTTTCTTTCTTATATATACTATTTTCAATCCTCTACAACGTAGAAAAAATTTTAAAATGCTAGAACTCTGAAACTTTATTAATTCTTAAAATTTTCTGCCTTTTTTTATAAGAAATCATAACACAGTACTGGTGTGCTTTTGTTTATAAGACTATTAAAAGGCTACTAACAGTAATTTGCTAAACAATAAAATATTCTAAATTTTCGATAAAATGTAGTAGTGAAATATGTAAGAACTTAAAAATTTTTATGCATAGTATGCGGGAGCGTGTGCTTATAAAAATTACTTTTAATATTTTAAATAAATGCAGAGTTTTATTATTTTCTGTTAAAAACAAAGTTTTATTAAAATTTTATGAAAGTGAGTTTCCACCTTTTTTTTTTTTTTTTTTTTTTTTTTTATAAATTTCATGTTTATATGTAAAATTCTTTTTAATTAGAACTTAATTTTTTAAAAAAAATTTAATATAAAATGTTTCTTTTTAAAAAGTGAAAGTCTAATTGTAATATTTAAAGAAAAAGTAACAAACCTTTTATTAGTTTTACTAAAAAAAGGTTCAAATTAATCTTTTAGTTTAACTTATCATTTTTTTTACTTTTACTTAAGTTTTTTATAAATACAAAAATTTTAAATTTTTTTAATAACAATTTTGATTCTAATTTCTATATATAAAAGTAATAAACAGTTATAATAAAAACTTTTCTGGTTTTTACTATGAATATTAAATTTTAATAATTGATCTTAAGGATATGAATATTCTATTACTGAAGTATTGTGATATACAAACTATTGACTTTTCATAATAATATATAGTATACACTTTCATTAATTATTTTCTTAATTTAGCCAAAATTTGTATAAATTATAATGTAAAAAATTAGAGTATAATAACTTGAAAAAAATATTAATTTAATAAATTATAATAAACTTCTGAAGAAAATTAAAAATAGCAAATTTATTATTGTAAAATATTAATATTAAAAAGTTATTAAATAAATAAAATATTAACAATTTTTCATAAAACTATAAAATTTTATTTATTAAAAAAACTTAAATATTATTATAGCAATGAATGTCATTTATAAGTAAAATATATTATAATATTTTTATGCATTACTTTAAAAATTCAAATCTTCTTTTAGTAAAAATTATAAAAAAAGTAATAAAAAAATTATTTAATAATAAATATATGAAAAACTTTTTCTTTATTAATTAAAAATAATTAAATTAATTTTCTTCTATAATAAAAGTATTTAAAGTTTAAAAGTCACAAAAAAATTTACTAAGTGAAATTTTTTTTTAACTTTTATTGAAAACTTAATTATTATTTTTTGGTAGAAAGTTTTATAAATATAATAATAATAATAATAAAAATAATAAAATTTTAAAATACTTTTTAAAACAAAAAATTTAAAGCATAAAATATAAATAAATTAACAATAAAATATATTAAACTTTTATTAAAAACTTTTAATATTAAATTATTTTTTATTCTAGTGAAAAGTAAAAAAATATAATAATTGAAATAAATAATAAATAAAAATTAAAAAAACTTAAAAACTAAAAAAATTATATAAATAAAAATATTAGAGCAAAAAAACTTTTATAATATTAACAAAATAATAATATATATTAACTTATAGAAAAAATCCACTACCAATATATACGTGATTTAATAATCAGAAAAAAAAATTATTAACCACTATAAATATAATAATAATGAATAAAGAAACTTGAATAAAAAAATTGAAGTGAAAAGTAAAAAGACTTAAAACTGATAAACTTTTATTCAAAAATAAAAAATAATTTTATGTGTCTTTATTATAAAAGTAGTATTTAAAGTATAAAATAAAATAAATTAATTATTTATTAATATAATTTTTTTTATAACTTCCATTAACTACTTAAAAAATTCTATTTATTTTTTTATAAAAAGTTATATAAATACAATAAAGAAATTATTAAATAATCAAAAGATTTCATAAATTTGTTTAAAACAAAAACTTTAAAGGATAAAATATAAAATAAAATTTCAGAGCATTTAAATATTTAAAAACTTTTTTTAAAAAAAAATTTGTGAAAAGTTATAATATTTAATACTAATTAAAAATTTTTAAATAAATATTATTTAACACTTAAAAGTTTATTTTTTCATATAAAATAGTAAATAAAATTGTTATATTATAAACTATTATAAAAATTATTTTGGAGAAATTTTATTAATTTTTTTTTAGAAGTTATATATATATAATAATAGGGAAGAATAATATTTAATAAATATAAAACTTTTATTATAAATATTAAAACTTCTTATTTTTATTTTTTTCAAACGAAGTTAATATAAATAAAATATATAATAAAAAAATATCAAATAATAAAATTTTATATAACTTTCATTATGAATTTTATAAATTTAATTGTTATAAAGTTATATAAGTATAATAATAGGAAATAAAAATATTAAAATAATGCAATATTAAAAAATTATTCTTTTTTTTTGTGCAAAGTCATATAGATATAATAATAACAAATATTTTAAAAAAATTAAATATAATAAAACTTTTATTTAACAAAAATAAAATTTTAGTTTAGTTTTATTATTAAAATAATATTTAAAGTATAACGTTAAAAAATTATATACAAATTATATTTGATAATATATAATAATATTATATATTTATACTTTTATTCATTATATTTATAGGATATAAATATCAAGGAAAATAAAGAATAAAAATTTTTATAAAAATTAAAATTCTTTTATTCTTACTTAAATATAACAATTTGTATATAATTATTTTTTTTACATTAAATTTGTAAGTTTTCTTATTAATGAGAATTATATTGAAGGCTCGTGAAGTTTTTTGATAAGGTCCTAAAAAAATAGTAATATTATACTATAACAATATAAACTTTACTAATATAGTAATAAATAATGTGAAAAATAATAATACAAATACTTAATACTTAATGGTAATAAATAAAATATAATTATATATATAATAATAATACTAATAAAAAATACAAAGTAATATTATATAATAAATATATTTGTTAATATGAAAAAAACTTAAATAACAATATACATAAATACAATATATTATAAAGAGCAAAAGCAATAATATATAATAATAATTAATAAAAATAGTATATAAAATTTAATAATAATTTGTGCAGCAACATTAACATATAAAATAAATAATATAAAAAACAACAGCAATAATAATAATAATAATAATAATAATAATAATAATAATAAAACTTGAGAAATTTTCTCTGCAGTGCGAGGAGTGTGTGATTGACTGAGAAGATACCTTTGAAAAAACTTAATGGATATTTTTAAAAAAATGATAATAATGAAGTTTTAAAACCTTTTTACAACATCTTTTAGTTGCTTATCATTTTTGGGTGTGCGCAGAAAAATATTTTTTTCTTATCATGAAAAAATAAATATAAACAAAATAACATTAAGTAAAAAAATAATATAAAGTTATTAAAAAAGTATAAAACAATAATAGCAAAGATTTTGTGTATAATAACAAAAAGTTTCTTTTGCTTATCATTCTGCTTATAAAAATAAATTAATGTAAAAAAAAGGTAAATATCTTAATAATAATAATAATAATAAATTTTATTTGCTTATCACTATTTGATGTATGCAAAATATTTTTTTTCAATTGAAAAGATAATAAAAAAAAATTAAAAAAATTATAAAGAAAAAGTATATCAAGGTTGTAATAATAATAATAATAATAGTAATATAATAATAATAACAACAACAACAACAACAACAACAACAATAATAATAATAATAATAATAATAATAATAATAATAATAATAATAATAATAATAATAATAATAATAATAATAATAATAATAATAATAATAATAATAATAATAATAATAATAATAATAATAATAATAATAATAATAATAATAATAATAATAATAATAATAATAATAATAATAATAATAATAATAATAAAGGCAACGAGAAGCGGAAGGGTGCAAGAAAGGATGCTGTAAAAGTTGTCTTATAGTTAAACGTTCTGTTGGTTTCCGCTTTAAACAGTTATGAAGAACATCCAATAAAAATTCATTATAAATATCGGGAAATTTTATTTCATATTGATCATCAATAATCGCTTGCATTTTCTAAAATAATAATTATGATAATAATAATAAAAGTTATCAATGAAAAAAACATTAAAAAAAAAATTAAAATATGTTAAAACAAAACTGAATAAAATAATGATATTAAATTATCAGCAATTATTATATATAATAATAAAACGTAATAAAAAATTTATAAAATAAAAATAATAATAAAGAGTATAAATAAAATTTATAGTAAATATATAATTATAAAGTAAAAAAATATAAAAATACTAATAAATAATTAAAAAATATTGCAAGTACAAATAAAAAATTACTTATTATTAATACTTTAATACTTTATTAAGTAAAAAATGCAGCATATTTATAGTTTATAATAAATATTATAAAATAAATAATAATTATCATATATATTATTTTTATGCTAATAATAACGAAATTTGATTATTATTATTATTAGTAGCAATAATCATAAATGAATCAAAAATATAACAAAATTTCTGTAAATTTCTTACTATAATAAAAAATTTTAAAGAAAAACTATTAAAATTAAAATTAAAGATAGCAAATTTTAAAATACAATGATGAAAGTAATAACAATTAAATAATAATATTAAGCAAAAATTTAATAATAACAATAATACAACGATTATAAAGTTAATAATGAGCGTAATAAGAAAGTTAAATAAATAAAAATAGTAATAATAATATAATTATAAAAAATTTTAAAATAATAATAAAGAAATAAAATAATTATAATTAGCGGTAAATACACAAAAATAAAAAGTTGTTAAATAATAATTATATTGTGTAAAAATTAGTATAAATAATATGAAGATATATAATAATTATAGAACACATAACAAGAACAACAACAATAACGACAATAATAATAATAATATTAATAGTAATAATAATAATAATAGTAATAATAATAAAACTTTTATAGGCATCGTTATATGCTGGAAAGGCGTCTTTCCATAGACCATCGCATATAAAATACAACCGAGAGACCAAATATCGCTGGAAGGGCCGAGCTTAGTGTAAAAATAAACATAATAACAATAATAGTAATAATAGCAATTATAATAACAATAACAACAACAACATCAACGACAACAACAATAATAATAATAATAAAACCCCAAGGTATGTATAAAGATTATATAAAAGTTTTTAATTTTTTAACTTTTACGCAAGTCTTGCTCGGTTCGTTGGGATTCAGGCTGTGAATTTCAGTCCCTTGAATGGCCTCAGGAGACTGTAATAATAATAATAATAATAATAATAATAATAATAATAATAATAATAATAATAATAATAATAATAATAATAATAATAATAATAATAATAATAATAATAATAATAATAATAATAATAATAATAATAATAATAATAATAATAATAATATAATAATATTGACAAATTGATGGAAGACGACTTAAAAAAAAATTAAAAAACTTTTCCCGAAGAATGGAGCACTTCATATTAATAGAAAATAAGGCACTTATTATTTTATTTATTATTTTATATTAAAAAAAACGCAACTCATTATAATTGTTTTTATAAATATATATCATATTTTTTTATACAAAAAATTCTATTTTCTAATAATAGCAATAATAATATATAAACCATATAATTCAGGGTGCCCACAATGGCCTGCGAGTCTCGATAGGCGCTTGTATGATCCTCACGAATGGTCTCGAATAAAATAAATAAGAAATAGTTATAAATAATAATAATTATAACAAGTAAAAAAAAAGATAATAAATGATATAATAGCAATTATGAATAACAGTAATAATAAATAGTAAGCAGTAAATAAAAAAGGTAGTAACAATAATATTGGATATACAATAGTAAATAATAATAAAAACTTTTGCAATGCCAAAATCGATGAGCTTGAGTCGGCCCTCCACAAATAGGAAGTTGGCAGGTTTAAGGTCGCCGTGGACAATACGATGATTATGAATCACTTGTACAGCCTCAAGCATCTCCATGATAATAATAATAATAATAATAATAATAATAATAATAATAATAATAATAATAATAATAATAATAATAATATGTATGATTATATATAATAATAAAAAGTAAACATTAACATAATAACATTTACTTATATTAAACTATTTATAATTATAATTATATAAATAATAAAAGGTAAAGATATTAAATATAAATTATACAAATAGTAATAAATATTAATAAACATGATAATGAAATATAATTAACAATATATATATAATTATATAATATTATTTTTTGTATGATTATAACAAATATTTAACTAATATGAAAGTAAAATTATTATTTTTATAGAACTTTTACTTATAATTATAAGAAATAACATTGTTGTATATATATAAGTAAAAAAGTGTATGAAACTATAATAAAAGTATATTATATATAATAATAATGACTTGCTGCCAGTAAAGTCTAATATGATTTTCGCTTAAAGCGTGCAAACTTTGCCGTTTGAGTAGTTGTGCCAAGTCGATGTCGCCACACTCCATCAAAACGTATATGTAGCGCGCTGTTATCTTTGCAAAAAGTATATAAACATAAAAATTGTATAAATATAAGAAATGTAAATATAAAAAATAGTTTAAAATAATTAATAACTTTAAAAAATATATATATATATATATATAAAAAAGAAATACAGCTTAATATTATTGTTAAAAATTTATATAAAAAAAATAGTTTAATATAACGATAATTATTATTAAAAATAATAACTAAAAAAAATTTAGAAAATATAAAGTATAGTTTACTATTATCGTTAAATAAAATAAACAAATATAAAAAATAGAAGTGTAATGATTATTATTAATAATAAAAATATGTATATATATAAAATAAGTAAATAAAAGTTTAGTATTATTATTATGTTTTTAAAAAGTTTACAAATATGTTATGGAAATAAATAATATAAAAAAAACATAAAAATAAAAAAAAAGTTAAGTGTAATAACTATTATAAAAAAATAAATAAAAATTTGAACGAGATATAAAAAATAAAAGTGTAAATATAAAAATAGTTTGGTGTAATGATTATTATTATAAATAATAATAAAAATAAAAGGAAAAATAAAATAAATAATAGTTTAGTATTATTATCTTTTTACAAAGTTTACATATATCTAAAAAAGAAATAAAAAATATAACAACGGTAATAAATAATAATAATCATGCGTAATAGTAATATAGAATAAAAAGAAAAAATATAATCTAATAAAAGTAACTGTAATATTGAATAGATAAATAAATAAAAAATTAAGTATATTATTATTAATAAATAGAAAAATTTATGTATAATTAATAATAATAATAGTAATAGTAAAATTGAAAATAAATAAATTTCGTATTATTATTACTAAAATAAAAATAATAACAAATACTATTATTAATAAAAATAAAAAATAATATAAAAAATAGTTTAGTAGTATTATTACTAGTGTAAGTAAATATAACTATAAATACAAAAAAAAAATAAATAATAATAAAAATAATACTCTCAGTAAAAGTATAATAATAATAATGAATAAAAAAATAGTAGTTCGTTATTATTATAAAGAATATATAAAAAATAATATAAAAATAAAAAAATATAAAAGAATTTAAAAAAAATAAATCATAACATAAAAAATAGGAAGTATAAATGATAATAAAAAATTACTATAAAAATAAAAAAAAATAAAACATAATATGAAAAATGATGAGGTATTATTATTATTAAAAACATAATAATGTAAATTACTATATATAAAAAAAAAAACTAGAAAACTAAAATATAAGAACATAAAAATTAATATTGAATATAATAATATTAAAGCACTATAAAAATAAAAATAAGAAAAAACATTATTATAGTAATTATAAAAACTTCAAATAAAAAAATAAAACTTTATAAAATAAAAATAAAAAATTTGTAATATTAATACAATAATAAAAGTACTATAAAAAAATAAAAATAAAAATATACATAAAATTCATATTATAAATAATAATAATAAAAAGTACAATAAAAATCATTTAATATTGTTATTAATAATATAAATAATTTTTAAAAAAGAAAAAAAAATAAAATAAAATCTAGTTTAGTAATATTACTAATAATATAAATAAATATAATTATTAAAAAAAAAAATAAAAAAAAAATGGTCCAGTATTATTATTATCATTAAAAATTTATAATGAATATAAAATAAATATAAAAGGACTTGTTATTAAGATAAAAATAAATAAAAGTAGTTTAGTACTCAGAGTATTAAAAATAACAGTTAAATAAAATATAAATAAATAAATAATAATACAAGGAAAAAGTATCATCACTAAAAATAATAAAAATAAAGAAAAAACTTTTTTTTATAAATGAAATAAAAATTATTAGAAAAAAGTTAACTTCTAAAAATTAATAAATTTTATTTCTTTATTATTATACTTAATAATAATAGAAGTAATAAAAAAATTAAGTTTATATCAATATTTTTACAAACGAAGTGTTTATTATTATTACTAAAAATACAATACATAATTAATCATAATAATTATAATTGAAATTCTTATAAATATAAAAATTAAATATTTTAAAAAAATATACTTCTATATATTAAAATTTTTTTTTGTTACTACTAAAAATGAAAATGTAAATAATAACAATAAAGAAAAGAAATTTCATAACATATAAAAATATAAAATATTAAAAAAAGGTTTACTTCTGTATACTAATAAAAATTTTGTTTATTATTATAAATAAATATAAAATATATAGAATCTTTATTATATATAGTGTAAAAAATGTTTTAAAAAGTTAAGTTTTATGTATTTTTAAAAAAAGTTGATTAATATTAATAAAAATAAAAATAAATTTAATAAATATATAATTAATAAAATATAATAGAAAAGTAAAATATATATTTAAAATAGAATTATTTATTATTATTATTATTATTAAAAATATAAAAATAATTATAATAATAAATAGAAATTTCTTTTATAATAAAAAAAATTATTAGAAAAAAGTAAACTTTTATATCCATTTAGAAAAGTAGTTATTGTTATTACTAAAAAGTAATAATAAAAATAAAAATATAATGGAAAAAAAAAGTTAAGTTCTATATATTCTTAAAAAAATATATTTATTATTAATATTAATTTTAAAAAACATAAAAGTGATATAGATAATGATAATAAAGAAAAAAATTCTTATAGATATAGAAAATAAAATAAATAAGAAAAGCGCTGCTACTTTGCTATTAAGGATACATGTCATCATACTACTTTGGTCGCACGTGTAATATAAAAAATAAAATAAAGAATAATAATTTTAATGATATAAATTTTAGTATAATTATAATATAATAATAACAAATAAAAATTAAATTAACTAAAAAATCGAATTCTCCAAAAGAGGACTGTATATATTTAAGGAGGCGATTGACTCGTAAATAGAGAGCGAGCTAATTAATATTTCTAGATATTAACATGGAGTTTATTTCTTATTATTATTACTAAAAAAATAAAACAATACACTAAAAGAATTCAATTTATATATAAAAATATAATAATTTAAGAAAATAAATAAAAAATAATAAAAGTTTTTTCTAGAAAATTTTTTTAGAGTATTCCAGAAAATTTACACAAGAAAAAAAAATAAATATACTAAATTAATAAATATTAACTAAAAAATAAAAAAAATATACAAAATTAAAAGAAAATATATAATAATATAATGGAAATACATAACAATAAAAATATAATATAAAATATAATAAACAAGGAAACAATAATGAATAATAAAAGTTCAATAAAAGTTTTAAAAAAGTAATAAATAATAGTACTTTTATTTTCCCATATTGTTTATGTATCTTATAAAAAATATGTAACAATAATAATATAAAAGAATAAAAGATAAGGATATATGAAAAATAATATAAAAATAAATAAAAAAAAAATAAAAAAATATATAAAAATGAATAAGTTCATCTCTGTGATATTTATAACATAACAAATTTAATTAAAGTAATATTAAAAACAATACGAAACTTATTTTTTTCCCTTTTTATTATTATAAATAAATAAAAAATAATATCTAATAAAAATATAAAAATAAATAAGTTCTATAGTACGAAAGTTTTATTAAAGAAATATTAGAAATAAAACTAAACTCTTCTTTCTCATATATTATTACTATAAAAATAAAGAAAATAAAAAAAATTGTATAAAAGTAGATTATAATTTCCTCTTTATAATATTAATAGTATAAAAGTTTTATAAAAGTAATAGAAACAATAAAACTAAACTTTTTTTTCTTTTTTCTATTATCGGTACAATAAAAATAAAGAAAATACAAAAAAAATATGAACTTCTGAATTGTATATACGAATAATCTGTTCGTGCTCACGAAGTTTATTAAGAACTTCTATTTCGGAGGCGTAGCCCTTCAGCGTTATACAGTCAACATTTTGTAAACTGTAAAATAAATATTTTTAATAATAATAATAATAATAATAATAATAATAATAATAATAATAATAATAATAATAATAATAATAATAAAACTAACTTTACATGTTTTAAAGCATAAACGACTTTGTCTTCACCAAGCACTTTATAAACAGTACTTGAACCTCCTTAAAAACAAGTATAATAAATAATTTAATAATCATAATAATGACCACCTTTTCCCAACACTTCAAGTTTCGTATATTTCGCGCCTTTTAGTAAAAAGGCGCAATCGCCGGGTGGTGGAAGTGCCTTTGTAAAACTCTCAGCTTTGATTGGCGAATCAGTCTTTTTCGAAGCCTCGTGGTTTTTGATAAAGTGAGGATCCCTATGATCTACAGGCGTGAGCTCAGGTTTTGCTTCCAAATGGTTAGTCCCGACACGGGACGTGTCTTAAAGTGTTTATTGTACACGTGAATATAGTATTAAAAATATCTATAATAAAACTTATTTTAAAAAAAAATCTAAAAGGATTATAATATATTTTTATATATAAAATATTTTATGCTCTTAAAAACTTATAATAATTTTCTTTTAAAGTGGTAGACCAAATAATTTACACCAATCAAACGCATTTTCTTTACTATAAATAAATAAATAAAAATTACTAATTAATAATTTCTTATAAAATTTAAGTTTTCCAATCATTACTTATTTTCGCATAAAAATTTTCAAACCTGGTCAAACAGTTTATTAACGTGTAATAATACCAATAATAATAACAATATAAATAAATAGTAATAATAATACTAATAAAAAATAGTTAAACACATCCAAAGTTTAGCGATATTTTATTTTTCTAAAATAACTAATAGTAGAAGTTGCATTATTATTATATATTGTGTTATTTTAATTATTTTATTACTAAACTTTTACTAATTATTATTTAAACAAAAGTTCTTTAATTAATAAAAAATAGCTTAATATACTATTTAAAAAATAAATGTTTATGAAAATAATATATACAATCCGTAAAATAACAATAATATAATAAAAGAATAATGATAATAATAATAATAGATAAATAAAAAAATACTTAATAATTATAACCTTGAGGACTTTCATCAGTTTTTAAAAGTTTAGAATCAATATGAATATCATTATTATAAAGATTTATTTCCTTCTTATTGATGCTGAAAACTTTATTATTATTATTATTATTATTATTATTATTACAATCGCTTTCTCTATTTTCCTCGTGACCTTTTTCATTGTAAACTTTATTATTATTATATAATTCATTAGTAGCTACTTCATTTTCACTACATTTACTATTATTTTTACTAATTACTTCGCTATTATTAACAGTAAAAACTTTATTATTATTATTATTCTCTTCGCTAATGGAAAGTTTAGAAAAGCAAGCTTCTTGTTTTTGAATTTCAATGTTTTTCTGATAAAATAAAGATATTTAAAAAAAAAAGCAAAATTCAACTTTCAAGCGAAAATAACATTATTATTCTTTGCGTACAAAAGAGTTAAAAAGTTTAATTGATATTTAGTGTTACTTATACAATAAGTTTTATTTAAAATATGTAATAATAATATATAATAAAAATAATACCTCGAAAGTTTTTGGATGAAAAACTTTATGATCACTCTCAGGCGTGGGATAAATATTAATACTTTTCTCTACTCTTATGGAAAAGTAAAACTTATTATATATTTATACATAAAAAATAAAAATAATATAACCATAGAGACAAAGTTATATTTAGTTCAAATAAACAGTGAAGATAAAAAAAATATAAATAAAATTTTATAGAAAAATTCATTTATTAGCAGAATAAAATTAAATAAATATTATAAATAAAATAAAAAAAAAAAGCGGAAAAATTATTTTCGTTCACAATAAATAATGAAAAAATTAAGAAAATTAGAATTATTATTAGCAAATAAACTTTTTTTTAATAATTTACATATAAAAATAAAAAGATTAACAGAAAAGTAATTTTTGTTCACTAAAAATAGTGAAAATAAAGTGTAACTAGCCAAACAAAATTTTAATTAAAATTTATCAATAAAAATAAATAATAAAATAAAGCGGAAAAGGTATATTCTTTCATAAAAATTAATGAAATATAAATAATTCTACTATAAAATTTAAAAAGTATAAAAATTAATTGAAAAAGTTACATTTGTTCATTATAAAAGATGAAAATATTTAAGTTTAAGCATAATGTTTTTCTAATATTATTTAAAATTAAAAAGGCGGATAAGATTGCTCATTACAAATAAGAAATTTTGAAACAAGTAAAAAAAAGAATATATTCACTAGCAACTTAAATCTATTATAATTATTTATAAATAGAAATAAAAAAAAGTATTTTATTCATAATAAAAAGTGAAATAGCAAAAAAATTTATTCCTAAATAAAATTTTTATAATAAAAGTAGAAAAGATTTAAACCTCAATATTAATAGTGAATTTTTTTTTAATAATAGAAAATATAAAAAACCGAAAAATTATAATTAAATTGGAAAAATTTTAACAGCACAGTAACAAATGAAAATGGTTTAAAAAATTTCAACCAAAGAATTTACAAAAAAGTCTTAAAAATGTTTATTTTCACTAAATTATTTATAATAAAAAAAGAAAAGCTAATATAATTGGTAGTCGGCAGGACCCAAACTTCACTATAAACATTGAATAAATTTGTTTTATAATATTAATTGGGGCGACTATTTTTATATGATTTCTATTAAGTTTCACTACAACCATTTATTGTCCACGAAGTTCATTATTTTTATAAAAATAAAACTTCAAATTTTCAATTTTTTTATAATTAATATTTTATAAATAATATGAACACCCGACAAAAAGTTTCCAAGTTTTTATTAAATAAAGTTATTCGTTAAAAAACTAGACAAACACGCAAAAAATTTTAATAATATACCATATCTATTGATAGTTCTATTTAAAAATTTTCAATACAAATGGTACGAAACCCAATAATATTATAAGTTTAAAAATAGACAAACACCCATAAAATATTAAATAAAAATTAATAATAATTCAAACTTTATATGTATTTCTATTCATTATATATAATACAAAAACCCAACAATATTAAAAGTTGAATAAACTTAAGTTAAAAGATTTCTTATAATACTTTTTTTTAATAAAAGAAATAAAAAAGAATTAAAAATAAGGAATAAAAGTTTTTCTTTTAAAGTAAATTCTGATAAAAAATAATTTCTTCAAAAAAATTATATTATAAATTATAGAACATCATTAAAAAGGAAACAAAAATTATAATAAATATTGAATATATTATAGAAAAAATTTATATTTAAAATAATAAGCGCTTCATTAAATGGAGCAAAAATCATAGAAATTATTGAATAAATTATAGAAAAAAATTTATAGTTATAAGAAAAATATTGCTTCCAAAAATCATAAAATTATTAATTATATTATAGAAAATAATTAGTATTTCTAATAAACATTGCTTCATTAAAAGGTATAAAAAAATCTTAAAAATTAATAAATTAAATAAATTTGTATTTATAGTAAATTTTGCTTCACTATAAAAAAAAGTGAACAAAAATCATAATAATCATTGAATAAAAAAAATATTTATAATAATTATATTCATTATAAAATTTAGATACAATATAATTTCATTATAAATAATAATAAAAAATAAAAGCGTCAAATCACATGACAAATTAAAATCCAATCAGAAGAGGTAAATGTCTTCCGTAATATAGATAATGATTTCTCATTGGCTAATATAATAAAAATAAGTTGATTAAATATTAAATTTAAAAACAAATTTTATTTGTTAAAAAAAATAGTAGTTATTATAGTGAACAGTCAAAAGTGTAACTATTTCATAACACGTCATAATAGCAATCACTTATAAAAAAGTTAATTTGTATCTAATAAATTAATGAAAATGAAGATAATTGACTCAGATTGTAAATATTTTTTTTAACAAAAACTTTTATGAAAAAAAGTACGTTCACAATTATTTAAAAAAAAAAGTAAAATGAAAGTAGTGAACATCGTTACTACACATGAAGGCAATATATAAAGATGACTGGTGCAATTTGAACGCGTTTATATTTTTTATTAAAAAAGTCAAAAACTGAAAAAAAAAATTCTTAACGTTTTATATGTCAAAAATTATAATGAACTCATTAAACATATGAAATTACATTTATAAAAAAAATGAATTCCTTCATTTCAATAAAGGTCTAATAAAGGAAATGATTATCGCAGTACTCTTGTTTACATCAAAAATTACCATTTTCACTAAAAAATATTCATTATAAGTTTTGATTTAAATTTTATACAGTAATATAATGAATTTTTAAATAACTTTTAGTAGCAGAAAATTTTTTCCTATACACAAATTTTTGACGAGCAATTATAACAGCTAAAAAAAGGATATCAAAAAAACACAATTTTTAATAAGAAAAAATTAATAACTTTTTATGAATATTCTAATAAAAAAATATAAAAATATAATTCAAGTTCAAAAGTAAACAATTCTTTTTTCCTGTTTATAATAAACAATAAAAAAGTTTAACTTTTTTCCGTTAATATCAATAAATAATTATAAAAGGTAGATCTGCCAATAAAAAATTAGAAAAAATTGACATTAATTCTAGCGCACAAATTTTTATCTTTTTTTTAACTAATCAAATATTAAAAAGTATATAAAAATACTTTAGCATTTCCTGCATCGGCGTGTCTTCATTACTGCAATTCACGGAAATTTCTGTGTCTGTCAGCAAAGAAATAGCGCCTTGCACCACTAATTGCAAAGCAGCTTTAATGGAATGTTGGGGTTCGATGCCTTTTTGAAGCGCTTTTTGTAATATCTGCTTGGCCTTATCAGTATTTCCTTATATATAATCATAATAGTAATAATAATAAATAATAAAAACTATGTTAATAATCATAATAAAACCTGTTTTCAGCTCAAAATCGGCCCAAGCAAGGTAAAAAAAAGCAACATGGTGACCTCAAAAAGCATAATAACAATGATAATAATAATAATAAGTAACACGTGATCAACCGACAATGGAACCACCAAACTTTCATCTACCAATAAGAGCAAACTACTACGGCCAAGGAGAGAGCAAATTTAAAAAGAATAATAATGCAAAGAAAACTATTTTATAATGAATATAATTATAAGAGAATATGATATATTGAATTCATGTACGCGAATTCATTCTTAATCTTCTTACAATAATATTTCTTGTATATTATAATGAAAAAGTATAATAATAATATTGTATAGCCAATTCTTTCAAAAAACTTTTTAATAATAATATTTTATTTTTTATATAGTTATTATAAGCAAGTATAATAATAAATTTATGTACGCAAATTCATTCAGGAAACTTTTTAATATTTTATTTTTATAATATTATAAATAAAAAGTATCATAATAATTGTATGTATAACAATTTTCCAAAAAACTTTTTAATAATAATAATACTTTTTTATTTATAAAATAACTATAAAGAGTGAAATAATAATTGTATATTTCAAATCATCAGGAAACTATTATATTTTTATTATTAAATAGTAATTATAAAAAGGTAAATAATATTTGTAAATTTAAATTTTTTAAAAAAAACTTTTTTATAATAATTATTATATTTCTTATGTAGTAATTATATCAAAATAAAATAATATATATTTTTTTTAGTCAATTTAAAAATCAATAGTAACATTAGTATATTCCATTTCTTTCAAAAAACTTTCCAATAATAACAATATTTTATTTTTTATAGATAAAAGTTAACGTGTAAAAATTTCGTTTATATCATATTTTCAATATACCAATTTTATAAAAAAAATAAAAATGATATTTGTTTTTTGCAAATCTTTTATTTTATATTTATTTATATAAAAATCATAAAAAGAATAACAATGATATTCAGATATTTCAATCATTATTAAATTTTTATTTGCGTAATTATTATAAAAAAATATATAATAATGATATTCGTATATATTAAAACTTTATTTTATTTTTTTATATAAAATAATTATAAAAAGTATAATAATATTTTTATTTATATTTATATATTTATATAAAAGTATAATAACAATATTCATATATACCGATTCTTTCAGACATCATGTACTTAAAAGTATCTCTGGCATCCTCAAGGCTTAACTTTCTAGTTAAAAAAAATTATTTAAGTATTTTTTAAAGGACCCACCAAAAAATTGCACTTTAAAAAAAATACTACAAACCCAGCCAATCAACTAAATTCTTTAAAAACCAGCAAAAGCCACTAAAAAGTTTTATAGTTTCATATAAAATTTTATATAAACAAATAGAAGTTAATATTTTTATTTTATTAACAAAAAATAATATTTTTATAATTACTTTTGCAAATGCGCATAAGTAACCCAAATTCGAAGAAAGTCGAGATTATTATTATTTTCCTTGCATTGCACTATTGATCTTGTGGCTTCTGCATTATAATTATAATAAGTACTATTAAATTCAATGTTATTATTATAATTGAAAATAAAAAAAATTAAAAAAAAATTATTACTTTCATAAATTTTTAATAATTTATTAGAATTAGGGGAGCTCAGAAAAGACGAAGGAGTAATGCTCCGTAGAAATTTAGTCCTATTCAAAATATTATTGTATAAAAAAGTTGTATTGGAGTATTATTAAAATAAAAATATATATATCAATACGTAAAATTAATTTATTTATAATATTAAAATAATAACAATAAAGGTAACAAAAATGATATTATCTTAAGTATTAATAAAAAAAAAGCAGCGAAAGGAAAATGTTGACAACGGTGTCCTTTTTATATAAAATTTGCCTAATTAATAATTTAGTTACAATTTAGACATCTAAATAACAAAAAAAGTAATAACATTAATATTATAAAAGTATTTATATAAAAAAAAAGCAGTGGAGAAAAAAGTTTATAAACGAAATCAATATATATAAATTATGCTTAAAAATATAAAAACTAAATAACAATAAGAGTAATCGGATTAATATCATAGGTATTATAAAAAAAAAAGCAGGGCAAAAAGTTTATAAATGGCCGCAATATATATAGATTATGCCTAACTGATAATTTATTTACAATTTAATTACCTAAAAAACAACAAAAGTATGACATTTATATAAAAAGCAGAGGGGGAAAAATTATAAACGGCATAAATATATATATATATATAACATGCCTAATTGTTAATTTAGCTACAAATTAAAACTTAAGTAATCACGAATGTAAAATAATTTTTTATCAGCTAAAATATTTATATAAAAATGCAACGCTGCAAAAAAGTCTTAAACGGCATCAGCATCTTATAAAAAAATGACTGACTGGCAAATTAGTTAGGCAATAAATATTAATTGTTACTATATAACAAGCGCTTTTACTTAGTTATATAGTAATACATTTATTTTATTTTTGTAAGAAGTTTTAAACTTTTTACTTCGTCTCTTTATAATTATGTTTAGCCCGTAAAGAAATAAGTAAATTAAATGTAAAAGAAATAATAAAGTATGTTTTATTATTTATAAGTCATAATAGTGAAAAATATAAAATATTTAAATTATTAAATAGCTAAACTTGTAAGGAAATAATATATAAAAATATTTGTAAGAATTAAAAATTAAAATATAATAGCAGTTTTACTTCTAAAAAAAAGTAAATTTTAATCTCTTAAACTAACTAATTAAAAATGGTTATAAATCTCTACTTATTTTGTAAACTTCGAAATAAATTATAAAAATAATATAAAATAAGTATAAAGATATTTAATAATTAGTAAAAGATTATATTAAAATGTCGCTAGTAAAGTATATAAAAGTTACAACCAAAAATGAAAAACTTTTTAATTATACGTATAAATAAATTTTTTTTTTTAAAATTATAATAACAGTAAAAAATTTTTAAAGGAAGCTAGTACCAAGCTTGAAGAGGATGGCCTTGCTTTTCTATGTCAAGCAATGCCTGGGCGTATTCTACAAAAAGAGAAGCACGAACTAAATTTTGAGGTGTTTTAAATGATCCATTTAAAGATTGCTGATATTAAATTAAATACTTTAAAGTAATTAAAGTTTATTTATTTTTAATAATAGAAAGTATTCATAAAATACCTAAATTTATTATATAGTAAAAGTATACTAATTTTTTTTGGTTAACATTAGTAAATTTACATGATTAGGAGTTAAATAAAAATTTTCTGAATTGATCTTTTCCCTTTTTTCCCACGCTTTTCTCTGCTGTCGCAGATAATTTAAACGTGCTTCTAAAGATGCTCGATCAGTCATATAGTTACAGACTTTGCAAATTCAAGTATATTTATTGTTATTATTTTGAATTTTATAAAAGATATTATTAGCTTATCATCATATACAAAGTTACTAGTCAAAGTTTTACAACAAAACGGCTTTTCCAGCCTTATAAAAAACTGGCCCCCTTATCTTTTTTGAAGGTAAATGAGGAATTAACAAGCAGATCTTAATTTAAAATTTATTGGAGAATTTTTAGTCCTCATGAGGTTTATTACTTGGATGTAAAAAAAAATTACTATAAGATTTGGTCTTCTGTCTTTTGTCGTTACAAGAAAAAATGTAAACTACCTTTTTGTGGCGTGAGTGCATACAGAATTTTGAATATTTTGAATTTTCTAAATTTTAGGCATTGTTTTTTTTTTTCGTGGAGTATTTATAAACTACAACACTTTTTCTTTAGATTCTAAAAGTCAAATTTTTTTTTTCTGATAGCAATAAAATATTCATATCTATATAAAATATATAAAGTTATGTATATTATATTTTTATATATGTATATAGGCCTTTTCCCCTCTGTATAATTTGTAAATGTTGCGCTGTTCTAGTTTTTTTAGGGAAAAAAAGTCGTGGGTGGCTTACTATATTAATATACATATTTAGCAGTTTTACTCACAAAATAGTAGTTGTTTTTAACTATAACATTAATTAATAATTTTATTTTCGGAATTATATTAGCTTAGAAGTTATGGATCTCTCCTGAACTTGCTTATATATTATACCTCTATACTTTATGTTTCTCTAGATTAACCTTTTTTTTTAAGCTTTAATTCTAAATTAAGACTCGCTCTTTGCTTTTTTTTTTTACTGAAAGATAATCCTTTAAAAAAAGTAATTACCACGATATGCTCTTATTATTTAGTTGACTTTAAGTATAGTTTTACTAGTTTTACATTTTTAAATTATATAGTATGTTGCCTGGATGTGTTTTCGGGGTAAGTTAGATAAGTAAGAAAGTTTGTCTGTTTACTGTATTGAAAAATATAATCAGTGCTGTTATTAACCTTTCGGTGATTTCAGCGCTCATCTATTTTTCTTGTGCCTCGCCTTCTACATTGCTAAAATGGTGTAGTGGCCAGCATGGACCAAGCTGTATCATATATAGATTATGTATTACTGATTCAAACTCACTACTACGTCGGTAGAAATAAAAACCGCACCCGAAAAAAGCTAAGAAAAGTATGAGGATCGCATTATTTTTTTTTTAACGCTTAAATTTCTGATTAATATCATCATATGCGATAGAATTTGAATACCTTTAGTAGTTTTAGAAGACTTTGTGTTCTTTAATAAGCCATTTTCCGTTTAGAGCTTCTTTCAAGTTAATCAAATAATGGTTGATCTATTTATTCTTTTGCATATATAATATACAAAGTATAAAAGTAAAAAGTATTTTTTCATAGGTAATTGGTTGATTGAGAACTTATCATAACCTTGTGGTACATAATGAAAATACTATGTAAAATCTTTAAAATAATAAGAAAAGATAAGAAAAAAAGGTTTGTGTAATTGTTTCTCTAGTTTATTATTGTAATTTGTTTACCAAAAAAAAAAAACATTAAAAAAAATTGCTATTTTATTTTTTGCAACACTATAGGAGGAAGGATTAACTTTTATAACTTTTATAACTTTGAACGAATCAAAAAGCAAGATTTTAGCGATTTCCAAGAATTTTTTATTATAAAACGCAGTCTGTTATTGCTTGAGAAGGTTTGCCTGGTCTAAAAATATTTTATAAGTAAATGGATTTGCGAAGTAAAATTTTTTCGGTAATATAGTGTTTTCCAGGTTAATATTAATTCATGACTGTGAAGTGCTAGCTTTGCCTTCACTCAAGCAAATAAAAATTTAAGCCAAACATAACATATACTTTGTTATGAAAGGACGGTAAGTATGAGAAAAAATAAGCATAACTTTTCACCAGCTGTATGTTCAAGTTATAAGTAAAAAGATTAGGTGTTTTTTTTTAATTTTTAGCTTTTTACAGCTATAAAAGTTGGTACGGGATTTTCTTAAATTTTTTAACAAGCACTTGATTGTAAACTGCTTTTTAATAAGAAAAACTGAACTTGTGCAAAATATGAGCATTATAAAATAAAATATAAGCAACCTTTTGCACTTTATCTAGTTTGCTATAAGAAAGAATTAAAAAATTTTTAAAAAAAGTGTTATTTGCAAGAGAATTATAAATATACTAAAATACTTTTAATATAATTAAGTATGAAAGTGATTTTCCAAATAAAAAGAAATCTAAGTAACCAAAATTTTAACTTAAGCTGCTAAAGGCTTAATAAATTTAAAAGTTAGTGTATTTGAAAGTTAAAGAACACAAAAACAATTTATTTTATTTATACTTCTTTTTACAAAGTCTCAACAATATACTTTTACGCAGATAAAAATATGGTAGATTACTGTCATATTTTTTTTTTACAAATAAGATAATCAGCACGCTATAAACTTTTAAAAATATTATAAAAATAAAATAGTAACAAATAATTTAAAATTAGGATCATTAAATGAATCTTTGGATTTACATATAAGTAATTTTACAAATTATATAAAGTATTTTAATTATTATACGACGCGGATTTTTTTTTAAAGGCGCTCACTAGCGAAGCTTGAGTTGCAGTAAAGTAGGGCTTTCCATACTTTTTTTATAGAAAGACTTGCTCATAAATGCTATACCACATCGTTCTATAGATGTCGTATTACTTTATAACTTATTTAAAAAAAAACTCAGGACTTTAAGAGTGTATTATGAAAGGTAATTTATTACTAAAGCGTATGTAAAAAATTATGTTCAGTTATTATATTTCTAACTCCTTTACCTTCGCTTTTTTGTCAACCCCTGAACTTAGGAGAAGGGCTTGCTCTAGTTAGTTAAAGACAATCGTTGAGAGTTCCCAAAAAAAAACTAAGCTTGGGTAAAAAAATTCGCTCCTTTTTAAAAGTTTTCTACTAAGGTAAAATGGTTAAGTGGTACTTTACTACTTTTGAAAAAGATGATTGTTATTTAAAGTTAGCATTATTTTTATAAGCATGACGTTCAGTCTATTTATAAGAAATAAAATTGATTTAAATTTTTTTTTAAATTACAAGTAAAGAAACTCAAGATCCCTGTATTAGTTTATAGGCATGGTTTAAAAGATCTTCTTGCGCCATACCTAACAATGAATGGCTTAAAAGTTAGTAAACGACAAAAAAATATTTAAATTCCTATAATACATAAAATTTTTATATAGGCTCAAGGCTTTTTTTTATTTTTAATATACTAAAGTTTATAAACCTCACTTTGTAAATTTATAAACTTTCAAATATGAGTTTACAACTTAGCGGTATAACTTTCAACTTTCTTCATTAAAAAAATAAGTGATGTTAGCTTTTAGGGTCCCTCTTTTGAGGTTGATCTTTAATTAATCGCGCTATCTTAGTAAAATGTGTTTCTGATAAAAAAAAGATTGGTGTGAAAATTTTTATTTTTCATAAATAAGGCCATAGAGATGCTAGATTAGTTTGCGCTTTGCCGAACCTGCATCTAGTGTTTAGTAATTACCTTTCGGTCTTAAACGAAACCAATAAGATAATGAACTTATTAAGTAAATAACTCCCCTCTCACCCCCCCCCCCCAAACCTTTCAAAATTAATTTTTTTTAATATTTATAATGCATACGAATAATAATTATTAAACAATAAAAAAAATAATTGATGGGTTTTGTGCTATAATGGGGTAGACCCCAAAAATGGAAATGCATTTGTTAATTTTTTTTTGGTTTCTTTAGCTATTACTATAATATTAGATTGATGGTTTAAAATCAGTAAAAGTTTCTAAACATCCACTCTACTTTCGTGTATAAGTGAACTAGATTATACTTAGTATTATTCGGGAATTTAATCGAATTGTTCTTCCTTATTAAAATTATAAACTCTTAGAACTTTGCCTAACTTTGATTTATGACGAAATCATCTTTGAAAACACACTACTCTGTTTTGTGTTTTCTCATAATATTTCCAAGATCCTAGTCTAGTCTAAAAAATGCTGGTAATTATATTATATACAAATTTGTTCATTAAATGAATAAAAAAAAACTTTTATAAGTTCTTAATATAAAGGCCAGGGGCAGTGCTTTTATAGAAGAGCCGTAAAATGTATAGTTGCTTTTAATCTAACTTATTTCCATAAACATGAAAAATCCATGTCAGAAGTCTTATTTGTAAAAAGTAATGGCACTACCAGATAAAAATTTATTATTTAAAAATAGAGGGAGGGGAGCTACTATAGGTCTTAAAAGAATGTGAAATTCATAGGTTGTTAACGTATGATTATATTTAATCGATCTTTTCTTAATAACGTATTTATTTATTCTAAAAAGTTCATAAAATTAGATTTATAGTTTTAAGTTTACAAAAAAAATTCAACAGGATATAAGTCATATTTAAATATTACTTCAATAATTTTTTGTCGGCAACAATCTTACCTCATTCCTCCATATATAAGATTTTATATACATCTTTAAAGCATAAAGTATATATTTCATTATTTACTATTCAGGTAATATATTATACGTAACTATAAAGTCTTAATAATAAGCTAAACAATATTTTATTTTCGATCTAGTTTATAACAGTAACCTTTATAAAACCTTTTTAAGCGAACCTCCAATGAATGGTGTTATTAAAACTTCTTGTGGTACTTTTTTGACTAATTTGGTCAATGCGGATGTTTATTGGTTGGATTATTTCTATTAGTAATTTTTTCATTAGCGCTGATATCTCTATTTTGATTATTTTATCACTTTTAGACATGTAAAAGTATACAAACTTCAATTTATTCCATAGAATAGTTAGTAATGTATATTGTATAAATCTTGTTAATAAAGTATTTAACAAATTGTGTCTAATAATATAAAATTAATTTAATTGTTAACAAACAAAACTATAGTATAAACTATCAAAGTACTTTACCTAAATTAAATACTATTATAATGAATAATACTATTTTTAAGAAAAAAGATTTTTCTACTTAAATATTAAAAAAATTTATAATAAATTTTTATTATTAAATAAATAAAAAATTTATTAACTTTAATTTAGCGTCACAATTTTTTTTAAAATTATTGGACGCGCCATTAAGATTAGGTAGTATATATATATATTGGTAAGCCTCTTGCCACTTGTCATAGTTGACTCACGCGCCCTTCTTGAGTGCCTCGAGAATTTACTTTTGTTGCGAAGAGTTTTTTAAATATTATAACTGTATTAAATTAAGACCTTTTTTTTTTGTTAGAAAAGTGTTATAATAAACTTAATTATACATAAAGGTTTGGTGTTGTAGTGTGTGCTACCTTAGTTAATCACTTCCAATTTCCTTTTTTATTAGATTTTGAAGCTGTTTTTTTTGGCGATGTTGTGTAAATGATGAATTTAAATACTTTAGGAGAAAACGAAATGCCCAACAGCGCACAAACTAAGTCCTTAAATTTAGTTTGTAGAGATAGTCCCTCCCCGAATTTACAAAGCCAGCTAGAAAGTTCTGCTCAAAATTCTATTATTAGTAATAACAATGAAATAGCACTTGAAAATTATATTGAAGACAGTAATCTTGGAGAAAATAATAAAGTTGATTTGGATCTTATTAACAGCGGTAAACCTAATCATAAACTTGAGAAGAATTATTTCACGCAAACTATACTTGAGAGCTCAGAAGAACCTGAACGAGATGACTCTAAGAAAGCTGAGTTAAACGATCAAGGAATGGATAATGAAATTAAAAGTGTCATTAACGGTAATGAGAAAGATTCTGTTATTAACAAGTTCACAAATTATTCTCCTAAGGTATACAATATTGAACACAAACTTGACAATTCTGAATTTGTTAGTACTGACTACAACCCCCCACTTTCTTCATATAAAGAGCGTTATTCTGGTAATTACTCTGCCAGAGTTTATCAGTACCATGAAACTCATGGCTCAACGGAGTTAACAGAAGAGGCTTCACGTCAGGTTTATGGAGTTCCTCCACAAATTTTAACCGGAGAAACTATTACAAAAAGAGATAAAGTAAGTCAACCTTATGATCACTGTCAGCACAGCATGCGTTATGAAGTGCCACAAAACTCTTCATGCACAAGACCAGTTATGTCTTCATTGTCTTATGCTTCTCGCGAAAGTTCGGGTTACGAGGAAAACAGGTATTATGAGAATTCTTCTGTAAACATAAACTATCAGCACGGATATAATTTTAGGTCTCGTCCTGTTGAAAAATACGATGAATATACGGTTAAGCAACATCGTACAAGACCTTCTCATCATGCTAACTTTCTTCTTTCTGTGAATAGAAATGCTAATTCTTATCATGTTTTAAACGGTAATAGAATAAAAAATAGTGATGATGGGTTTGTTATAAGTCAGTTGCTTTCTAAAGAGGGATCTACAAGTACTAGAAAACTTGCTGATGGTAATAAAAGGGGCAGAGTGGGTCGTCCTTCTAAACTTTGGTTAGGAGTTTGCTCGTCTAATAACTCGTTAATAAGTGTTCTTCCACCGAAGAGAAAAATTATTATTGAATCCGATAATCCCTATTCAAAAGAATCTAGCGTTATTTGCGCTTCCGAGAGGGACAATTTAGAAAATTCGGGAAAAGTCAAGAGAAAATACAGAAAAACTAAAGATAAACGCGCTGCAGCCAAAATTTCTCAAGAATGTTTGGAAAATAATAATCAGAAAAGTCCTAAGAGGAGAGAATGTAGAATAGAAGGAACAGATTCCGAAACTGATACTAAAAAAACTGAAAACTCTCAAGAAGACGAAGCTAACAAAGACTTCTGTTCTACTTCTCCTATGCAACAAGCAAAGCATATAAAACACTATTTGCATAGTGAGTTTGAGGCAGAAACGGACCGTGCAATAGATGTTGGTCCTCGCAGGAAATCTTTACGTTCTTTTAAAGATGAAGACAGCCCCGTTCAAGGAAAGAATATTACGCATGCTAGCTTGTTACCCTCTATTGATAGCAATGGGTGATTGTGCATTTCCCACATTCTAAAAAAAATTAATATGTACTTTTTATATAAATAAATTAATACAGTCCTTATTACATTATGTGGATCTCCAATGAGAGCGAAATTGATATTATGAAGGAGTTGGGTTCGTTATGAGTTTTATGTTATTGAATTTTTTAATTGGTCTTACCTTGCCCTTTCCAGGGGCTGACGTTCATGACCTTTTGAAACTTTATGAAGTACATGCGCCTCTTCTTTCCGCTTATTGTCCTTACCGAAATGTTTGTTTTCACTTATTTGGAGCTTTTTTTATATAATAATATATATAACCATGATGAGTAATAAAGAAAATTTTTTTAAATGCTACTGCTAATAACTATTAGTATTTGCTGCAGTAGAGTCCATTTTTTATACACACTTAATAGTGATAGTAAAAAGAAATAATACAAATGTTTTTATAAGGCTAAAAATTTATGAATAAGGTAGAATACTAGTACAAACTTTTTTTCTAACATGAAACTTATATTTATGTTTGTTTCTCTATTTTTACATGACCTTAATTTGCTCACATGTACTCACGCGGTTTTGATTGCTTCTATTGTACACAGTTGAATGGATTACAATATTTATTATTATTTTTCTTGCAGCTGTTAGACGATGGAAATGGAGCAGAGCAACTCGATCAGCCTAATGATGCAGACTATTCCATTTACTTCACGAAAACTGCTAAAAAGTTTAAAGAATGCAAAAGCAACGGAAACGTGATTATTATTGTGTTTAACTTGTTGGGTATATACTTTTTTTATATATTTTGTTGCCTATATAATTTTATATTTTTATAATAATATATATAAAGAAAGTTAATAACGTTTTAAAAAAAAGTTATAAATTAATAATAAATATAAAAATGGAAATAATGGTAATTAAAATAAATATTTTATAAAAATAAATATAATAATTAAGTTATTTATAATAAGGAAAAGTTTATTTGTTAATACTTACAATAATCTAATAAAAATTATAACTATTCGTTAATATGACAATACTTACCAATAAAAATTAAAATTTTATAATATTAAAAGTTATTGGTTCTTTAATATTTATTTTCTTATTGAATATATGTGTTAGTTTATTGGCTGAATTATAATCAGAAATATTAATAAAATTTTTTAGATGAAAAGGTTTCTGGCGCAATGCTCTGCCGTTTGATTGGCAAGCGCGGATATCCTCAATATGAACTTTGCGTAAAGGGCTTTAGCGGTTATTATTATTATTATTACTATTTTTTTATTTTATTTAACTATTATATTAAAACATATTAATATATTATTTATTAACTCCTAAAGATATTTTTTATAATAACTTTTGACTACTTTATTATTTTAGTATAACTGTAATAATATTTTTATTATTTATTGATTTACTTTATTACTTTTAAATATTTATTTATTATAACTACAATTTTATATTTATTAAGTTATAATATTTATTATGAATTATTATTATTCTACTTTTTTTATAGAATCCAAAATTTTCGAATTTTTTTTATTTTAATTTTTTATTATAACTTTTATCTACTTTATTATTTTTGCAATTATTTATATCTATTATTATTTATAAATTTAACGAATTTTTGTATTTCCAAAATTTTATAAGAAGTGATTATATTATTTCTTTTTTATTCTTAATTTACTTTTTTATTGTAACAAGAAAATTTGAGTTATTATTTATTACTTAAAAGGAATTTATTTTATTTAATAATATTGAATAATTTTATTATTTTTATATAATTATTATTATAATATTATGAATGAATTTATTATTATTAATATTATTATTCTTAATTTACTTTTTATAGTTTCAAAAAATATGAATTATTATTTATCAACTTTTAAGATTTTCTTCATTAAAAATTTCATTATTCTTAACAACTTTATAATAATTTTTTTTATAAATATAACAAAAAATTATAATATTTATATTTATTTAACAAAACTTTTATTGTTTTTCATTTTTTCTATTTTTTTTTAAAGTTTTAAATATTTTATTGTCATACAATTTACTTTTATATTATTATTAAATACTTTTAAATAATATTTATAACTTTTCCTGTTTTAGTTTTTATTATTTATAGTTTATTATATACATATTTTTAATATTAACATAAACTTTTGCTTAGGAAGTTATAATATTCGAGTGCTTAAGTGCAAGCGCTTGACTTATGAAGAAACTAAAACTCTTGTAGAGTTGCTTGTAAATGTATTTAAATATTTATAATAGTAATAATGATAATAATAATGATGATAATAATATTAAATATAAGAACGATCGCATTTTTTCTACTAATTTATATATATAAAAATATTATAATATTTATATCAACAAAAGTTTATTGTTGTTACTTTTTTTTACCTTTTGGTATTATTTTATTATTTATTATATATTATTTATTATCTATAAAAGGAAAATAAAAAGAAACGACCAAAGTATATGTTTCCTGTATTGGCCCCAACAAACTTCTGCTTGCTGAAGAATATTATTGAAGAAAAACAAAACGCTAATCATCGGATATCTGAATGTTATATTTTTTATTATTATTAACTTTTTTTATATATTCATTTTTTATTTCTTTTTTTATAGTTACATATGATTAATTAATATTTTTATCATATGCAATGATTTTCACTATATAAATTATATTCTTATTAACTTTTATTATTTTTTGTCTATATAATTACGTTTGATTGGCCAACAGGTTATCATTATTTTATGGTTATCACTTTTTTTATTGTTATTAACTTTTATTTAATAATTTTTTCATTATTTTTATTAACTTCTATATTATTACATTTGATTAGTCAAATTAAAATGTGTTTTACTGGTTCAATTATAATATTATTAACTCGTTGTTATTATTTTTTATTACTATAATATTTTAATGATTATTTATTTAAATTTTTATTATTTTATTTATTGTATGTTTATGTTTTTTAATACTTTTCCATTATTTTTTGTCTTAATTATAATTCGTTTGATTGGTCATTATTTTAATATGAAGTATTTTTCTATAAGTTTTATATTATTTTTATCGATTGTTTTATTTTATAATAATTATTGTTACCTTTATAATTATATTTTTCACACTTTTATGCTATATTTATTTTTGCTATAACACACATTTGATTGATCGTGATTTTTATGGTGGATTTATTTTTATTATAATTATTAAAAGGCTCAATATAATTTTTTTAAAAAGTCATTACTATATTTGATTGGTTATATTAATTATGATTATAATAATATCTTCATTAAATCCTGAAAAGCTCAATATTTTATTAAAAAGTCGTTATATCTTTTAACTTTAATAACTATAATTTATTGGTTGTAAATTTTATGATTACAATAATATTTTCTTCTTTATAATCACGAAAAGCTCAACATTTAAAAATTTATTATTTTTAAAAAATCATATTTTTTTACAATTTTATTTAATAACTTAATTTGGTTGGTCATACTTTTCAGATGATAATAATATAATATTTTTCAAAATAATGAAAAGCTTAACACTTGAAGTTTCATTTTATTGCGAACTTTTATTATTATTATTATTATTATTATTATTAATTTTTAATTTTTTTGCAATTTTATTTGTAACTATTGTAATAATTACACTTGATTGGTCGTAATTTTCATGATTCTTATATGATTTTTCTTTAATAGTTATGAAAAGCTTAAAACGTGAGGTTTCATATCATTGCTATTTTTATAATTATTATTAACTTACATATTTTTTCACTATTTATTTGATTTCTATTATAATATTTAAATTTGATTGGTGGCTTTTAAGATTATTTAAATTTTTTTTAGAAAATTTAAAAAACTTAACACTTGAAGTTTTATATTGTTCTAACTTTTATATGTTCATACAATTTTGTTTACTTTCTGTTTTAATAATAACATTTGGTTGGTTCATTTTTAATCAATATCTTTTATAGGTGAATAGCTGAAAATTTAAATTATTAATGTATATAATATTTAATACGAAAATCTTTCTTTTTACCAAGAAAAATAGTGAGTAGTGTAGTTATTGCAATTTTTATATAATTAAATTTTTTTTTTAATATATTCATATTTTTTTGAAAAGCCCAACTATTGAAGTTAATAAATTTTAATTTATTTTTTAATTTATTTATTCAATTTTAATCATAAAAAAATTATGGAAAACTCGTTTGTAATATTTAAATTTTTTAGTAATATTTTTTTTGAACTTAAAAAAATTTATTCATTAAAAATATGAGTAATTCAGCAAACAAAATTTACCTGAATATATATATATTTTTTTTTTACAAATTTTTTCAAGTCAGTAAACTCTTATAAAAAAATAATGTATAACTTAACAATTGGAGTTTATTATTATTATGAATTATATTTATAATTACATTCGTTATAAATAATGAATAACTAAATAAATAAAAAATTTATATATTTTTATTAAGCTTTGAAATTTTATTAATAAAAATAATGACCCAACAAGAAAAGATTATAATATTAATTTTTTTATATTATTGATATTTTTTCTAGTTTTTAAATATTATTCATTAGAAATAACGAAGTTAACAGTAAAAATTATTTAATATATGGACATTTTATATATTATAATATTTTTATTATGTTGTTATTTTATACATAAAATTAATGAATAACCTTAAAATTAGTTAATTATATTTTATATTTTATATGTGTGTAAATATTTTTGTTTTTGAAAGTTATCTATTAAATTTTTGTTAACAATTATAAAATAAATTATTAAAAAAAGTTATGAAACCTTCAATGGGTGAAATTGTATATTTTATGAATATTTTTTTTTTTATATTTATATTATACTTTGAAATTTTTATATAAAAACTAACTTGTAATTAATAAATATTTTCAAATTTTGTTTCTACTAATAAAATTTTTTAAAGAAAAATAATGAAACCTTCAACATTTCAGTTTTTATATTTAATGAATATTTTTTCATTTTTCATATTTTTTAAACGTTTGAGATTTTATTGTTAAAACTAATAAATAATTTAATTTTTTTTAAATATTTTCATATTTTTTTCCAAAAAAAAAATAGTGAAATCCACAACACTTAGAGTTTTTATACTTCTATATGTTTACACATTTGAAAATTATTTATGAATGTATTAAATAATTAAATATTTATTAAACTTTGTCTTTAATTATAAAAGTTTATTAAAAAAATAATGAAAACCCAACATTTAAAGTTTTTATATTTCATGAATGTTATTTTATTTTGTTTTTTTTTTAGTACTTAAATTATTTCCAAGTTTATCGGTTGTTAAATTTCAAGACTTTTTAGCTCATTTGAAACACTTTGAACTGTTGGAGGAGGGAACTTTCGGTATTATTATTTCTATTATTATTATAACTATTATAACAATTATTATTATTCTTAACTTTATGAATATTTTATATTAATTAAAATTATTTATATTAATAACTATTTATATACACTTATTATTATTACTATTTATTAATTTATTACAACCTTGATGAAATACTTCATCTTTATTAGTTATGAATATTTTAGATCAATTTTAAACCAATAATAGAACACTATTTTGCACTGTTTTATAGCGTTTTCATTAATTTATAGTTAATTTTGTTAATATAATTTGATATTAACTTTTATGTTTTTTTATTATTATTATAAATATTTGTCTATTTTTTATATACTAATAATTTTTGCTTTCTATTTATATTTAATTATTTTTATAAATATTTATATAAATTTATTATTTTTACTATTTTAAATACTTTTATACTATTTATTATTATTATTTATTTTTTCAGTTTTAATTTATTATAAATATTTTTTATTAATATCTTTTTAATTCGTTATTGTTAATACTTAAAATATTTGTTTATTTTATTAATAATTATTAATATTTTTTGTACTTTTTATTTTTTAATATTTTTATTGATATTTACTATTATTATTTATATATTAATATTAATATATATTTTTATTTTTTATTTATATATATTGATAAATCTTTATTACTATTTATTTATTTATTATTATAAATATATTATTTAATTATTACTAATATTTATAATATTTACTTATCCTTATTATTCAAATATTAATATTACTTGTACTTTTTATTATTATTATTAATTGATATTTATTTTATATTGTTACTTATAAATTAAATTGAGATTTATTTATTTTATTCTTTATATGTAGATATTATTTATTATTTATCTTATAAAACTTTTATTTATATGTTATTGCTTAATTAATATTATTATTACTTTAATATAAAAATACGTTATTAATTATTTATTTATATATTTTTTTATTTTATTTTATACAATATTTTTTTATGACTATTATTATTATACATTTACTTAAATATATATTTTGTATAATATTTTTATTTATTCTTATTATTAATTATTTTCATTATTTTTCTGTTATTTATTTGTATTAAAAATTAAGATTTACTTTATATTTATTATTATTATAATTACTTTTTTTAGTAATTATTAATATTAAAAATTTTTATTTACTTATTATATTTTCATTATAATTATAATATATTTATTTTTTATTATGATTATTATTTATATCTTTTTTTTAATTTTTCATACATTTTTTTTCTTATTCATTATTTATTATATTTATTTTATTATTATTAATTTTCTTTTTATTTTTATATTTTATATTTATTATTTTTTTTTGGATATTTAAAAACTCTCTATTTCATAGGAACTATTTATATTGTGACGGAGTCCACTTCCCATGTGGACTCCGTTGCAAAAATATTTAAAAGTTCTTGTCAAACCGAAGTTCGTTTTAATGAGATCAAAGTTTTGACGTATTTTTTTTTTATTTTATTATTATTATTATTGTTATTATATTTTTATAAAATTAATAAATTTATTTTTTATTAATATTATAGTTTTTTTTATTATCTGTTATTATTTTTATCACATTATTATTATAAGTTTTTTATATTATTTATTATTATTATAAAGTTTTTTTTATTATTTATTATTATTTCTAATATTATTATTTCCTTTTATTTATTATTTATTATTATTCATTATATAATCATTATTAAGTTCTTTTAATTGAGTTATTATTTATTCTTAATTTTATTATTATAAAATATTATTATATTTTATATTATCAATATTATATTAAGTTTTTTTCATAATTTGTTATCACCTCATAATAATATATTATTATTATAATTCTATTTTAAGATTAATAATTTTATTTCATATTATTATTATTAAGTTTTTGTATTATAGTATTATTACTGTTATTATTTATAAAGTTATATCATTGTATTCATATGTATTATTTTTCGGGCGAATAAGAATGCTTCAGGGCATTCCAGCCGTCCCTGATTTGCTGCATGTGCTTGAAGAAAATTCTTCGATGGGCGATTCCACCAATGAAATTCACGGTTACGTTATAGAAAAGTATACTTTTCTTATTATTGGTTTATAGTTATTTATATAAATCAAGGAGTTTTTTTAATGGATGTTAATATTATTATTTTATAATATTTGAGTTGCTTATTTATAATTTTTTTTCACATATTTACAAATTTTTTTTGGGTTTCTTTTCCCTTTTTGTATAAATTGTTTCTTTTCAAACTTTTTATATATCCATTAATATTATTATATAAAGTTATATACGTATTAACTAAATAAATATCTTTTTTTTTTAATATTTTCTATTATAAAAGTAGTATACTCAATGAAATTATATTTATTATTTTTATTATTTTTTTATGTATTTTCTTATAATAAAAAGTAAATACTTATTAACTTTATATAACTTTTTTAATTTTTTATATTTTATTATAAAAGTTATCTACTTTTAACTTCATTATTTATTATTAGTTTTACTTTTTTTATTATAAACTTCGTTATTTATTTATTATTTTTATATGGATGTAAAAAAATTATCTATAAAATTATATATTTTTTCTCTTTATAATGTCATATAAACGTTGTTAATAATTAATATATTTCACTATAAATTTTAAATAAAAGTGATTACTTATAAATTTATAAATTTATAATCTTTTTTTCTTAATAAAAGTTGTATACTTATAAACTTTATATAATATATATTTTTTCTCACTATTTTTATTCTTATATTAAAACTTATTTACTTATAAAATTTATCTATTTATTATTTTTTTTCACTAAAAGGTTTGATTGCACTCTACAAGAATATGCGCGTCACAACTTATCAGCCCCGCAAATTTATGAGGTTGTCTATAAACTGAATTCTGGATTGAAGGAATTTCATTCGCGCAGGCTCGCCCACTTGGACTTGTGCGATAGAAATGTAATGATTCTGGTGAGCGGTACTTTTTATTTTATGTTTCTATATTTACTATAATAAATATAATAATATCATTGTTAGTATTTATGATAATAATTATATTAATAATAAAAATAATACATAATAAATGTAAAAGTATAATTAATAAATAAAAATAATTACATTAAGTTAGATAATAATAATAAATTATAATACGTGTATTAATAATATTATATAATATAATAATATGAATAAAAATAATAGTTAATAATGATAATACTATAAAATAATAAATAAGTATTATATAGGTAACAGAATAATAATAAATAATAAATGTAATAATTTGAAATGAATGAAAAAAATAAAATACAATAATAATAAGAATAAAAATATGTATAAATAATTTTTTTTAAAGACGATAAAAAAAAGAAAATAAAATAATAAGAATAGAACTATTAATAAATAATAATATCAAATAATAGTTATAGGAAAAAGAATGAACTAAAATTCAATAATTATTACAAAATATGAATAAATAATATAATAATAAAAAGAAAGATTGAAAAAAAAAAATACGATAATAATAAGAATGAAGATATTAATAATTAATAATAAAAATTTATAAAAAGAGGAACATAATATTAATTAATAATAATTATAATAAATTGATAATTTTGGTTAAACATAAATATGAATAGAAATAATAGTAATAAGACATAATAGAAATATGAGTCAGTAATAATGTAAGTACTATAATTATAAATATAATTAGTAATATAAATACTAATAATAAGTTATTTAATAAACAAAAATATTAATAAATAATTGATTAACAAAAATATTATTATTGAAAAGTTTATGGTATATAAAAAATAGCAGCACTATTATTTTTATTATAAAAGTTTTAGTTTATTATAAAAATAAAAATAACATTTGAAAATATTTATTACTAAGAAAAAAAAAATTACTTAGAAAAGTATTTTTGTTATTTGCTTAATATTATTTAACCCCAAAAGTTTATTTTTTATTATGAATATAAAACATAAAAGATAGTTTTCTTATATTAAAAAAATTTATAGTATTTATTATCTATTTATTTATTATCATTATTAAGAAATTCCTTCTGTGAAAATTATCGATTACGCGGCGGCTGTGTGTTTTCCTGCTACTAATAAACTTTACCTTCCGACCAACACGGCAAAGTTAAACTATCGGTATACGAAAAATATTAATAATTAGACATAATAATAATTATATAAATATTATAGAAAAGTTGTTATAAAAATAATAATAACATAGTAAGTAAATAAATATAATCAATATAGAGAGTAATATATTGTTATTACTATTTAATTGGCAAAATTATTATTTATTAGCTAATTCAGTTAAATAAATTTTTTAGAAAAATTGTTTATTACTACTATATATTTACTATTGTTACTTGTTATTATTATTGTCATTAGTACTATATTATTGGTTATTACTATTATTATTACTATTTTCATTATTATTAGTTATTGTTGATATTATTATTATTAAAGACCCCCGGAAATTTTTACTGAGACTACTCGGAAAGCGAATGTTAAGAAAGTTGACGTTGATCCCACAAAAATAGACGTTTGGGGATTGTCAGTACTAATTATGGTGACTTTGATAGTATTTTTTAATAACAACAACAACAGTAATAACAATAATAATAATAATAGTAATTATTGTGACAATGGAAAATCCAATGGATCCAAATATCATTTGATCTTTTTATTATCGACTTATGTTATTAGCGTTTTTTTTGTCTAATTTGTTAAGTAAATTTAATGAAAAATTATACAAACTGTTTGATTGATTCGGTTCGATTCTATGTTTAAATAATTTTAATATATTCATATCTATTATTTACTATTATTATTATCACTTATTTAATTATTATGAGGATTTTATTATTATTATTATTATTATCATTATTTTTATAGGAACTCTTAAACAGAGGGATGAAAGCGTGGAGCGGCCAGTTTGATGCTTCTCTTCTCCACGAAGTTATATCTGATGCTGTTCTTATAGAAAAACATATAATAAACGTTGGAGGGCCTCGCTGGCAGGTATACTTTTGTTATAATTATTTATCATTATCGTTATCATTATTATAATTATTATAATACCAGCATTTGCTACGTAAAGGCCTTGAGGTGCACCCAAATAATCGTTGGTCCTGCGAAGAAATCGAGACGTTCTTAATTAAAAATAAACGAGCTTTAATATCAGAACTCGAAACGTATACTTTTTACTTATTATATACTTATAATATTTTTTTATTTAGAGTTTTTTATTATATTATATTTTTATTATTATTCATATTTATTAATTTATATATTTATAATATTTATATTCTTTATTTATTATTATCACTGTATATATCTATATATATTTATTATATTATTATATCTATATCTTATTATTATCCCAGTCTTCCAAAAACAAGAGGAAGAAGAAGAAAACTGGGCCTCGTGAAGAACAGTTGCCCGTTCGAATACAACTTTTCGAGCACTCAAGAGCTCGCCTGCGAGAAAAGGAGAACCACACGTGCCTCTCTCGCTAATAATTTTAATAGTGGAAGCGATAATAATAATTATTATTATAATAGTGGTTGTAATGGTAATAATAGTTATACTCTACGAGAGAGTCACGTGTCTACCCGTTACGCTCACGCGCATTGTCCTTATCCGTCCACCAACCAAGAGAAGACGTGCGAGTATTTGTTTCATCAGCAGCAACCTGATTCGTTTATCAGCAAATGTACCAGACCTCCTCTGTCCAATAAGAGCCAGGAATACCCTCCTGAGAATTTCCGTAGATATCCTTACAATTCCCCAGCGCCGTCTAAGCATCCGCCATCACCGCGGACGTTGAAAAAGTTTCCCGTTCACCCCCCCGTCGACTCCCACATGTTTCTGGATTCGCAAGAAAAACTTCCTGATGGCTCTTCTTACTCTTTTCACCAATCACATTTCGTTCCTTTTCTTTCGTCTTATAAGTACGACTTCAAAATCCAACGACGTTCTTCTCCGCCCGGTCATCTTTACTCACTTAACCCCTACAACTATTATATGCCCCGCGCACCTACCTGCCCTCGTTATTACCCTCCCCCCCCCTCCCCGCGGGCGGCTACTCCTCATGAGTGTCCACCCTGTCCTCACTCCTGTCATCATCACCCGCCTGAGCGTCCGTTTTTCCGCCCCTCCGAAGAGTATAGCCAATATACTGCTCCTTATATACCAGGCCGCTTAGAAAAAAGTAAGTTTGTATATTCCTCGCGTCCTGAAAACTTTACTTATTGTGATCCACCTCGCGACACTAAACCATCCGTTGTTCCCGATTATTACTATCCCTTTTCCGGTGTTCCGCTTCAGAATGGAAACAAGAAACCAATGCAGCATTCGAGAAATGCTAATGAAAATAATCATGAACGCGTTTATTATAATAGTTTTTCTACCAATCGCACCGATAAACTTTGTGAACCGTTAAAGGCTCTCTACAAAAGTTCTAGAGATTTTACTTTTAAGCATCACTCGCTTGACAAAAATATTAGAAAAAGTAATGATAAAGTTTATCAAACAAACGATTTAAGTTATAATAATAGTAATATTGATAATGAGAATAATGATAGTATCGATGGTAAAGCGCTTAATAGCAAACACAATAGTTTTGTTGATGGTAATGATAATGAAAATTATAATAACAATAACGGCTTCGATTATAATACTTGTACTAGTAATAATGTTCATAAAGATGAGGACAACCTAGAAATTAACAAAGTGAATGAAAGTAAATTGACTCCATTACAAGAAAGTTTACCTTTAAATTCTGTTACTCACGATGTTGTTGTTAATAAGTGTAGCCCTGTTTTAACAAAGATTCCTGAAATTATAAAAGAGCGTCATCTTGAAGATGAAGAAAAAATGCCAACGGAAAAACTTAATTAGTAGTTACTTGTTTGCCACTTTTGCTAAAAGTGAACAGCTTCAATAAAGTTTCATTCTTTTTTTTATATTCAGCAATTTAGTAATTAGTTTTTTTAATTTCTTTTTCAACGTGATCCAAATTTTATTTATGTATATTATTATATGTTTATTAATGTGCTGTTATATATACAATCTATTTTTCTTGTGTATCTGAAAAAATATTTAACTATTTTATTTGCTTTTTATTATTTGTTATTTCAAGGCGGATCAAAGGTTCCTTTAAAGTACTAACTTATACAATAAAATTAACTTTAATAATAACCTGCACTGGTAGAAAAATAATCGTTTACATTTATATTGAAACTTTTCATAATAATTATATAAAGGAATTAATTTGTCTTCATATACTTTTTAAAAAAAACTAATTAATATTTTTTTATTGAGGCAATTCTCGTTTGATTAAAGCTTTTAATTTTTTTTTAGCAGAATATCATCCTGAAAGTCTAAAGATTATCTTTTTTCATTTTTATAAACTTTGTAAATTTGATAGTAGCTGTTATGTTTTTATTAATTTTTTAAAAAAAACATCTTTAAAAATGTTATTGTCTATATGCTTTATTTATTATAACTAATAATTTTTTAAATTACAATTCAACTAAATAAATAAAATTTTTAAAGTGCGTTGCGAAAAAAAAAAAAAAGCCTTAGTTTTAGAAGATTTACAAGCTATTTCTGTAGAAATCTATAGAAAAAATTGTTAATTTTTCAAGTTTCAAGATTTCATAATATTTTTGAAATTTAAAAAACGAGTTGTTAAAGGAAAACTACTGCTTTTTGGAATTGAGCATATCTTTGCAAATCTTGGGCGTTATATAAAAAACTGAATTTGAGCCTAATTTTTGCTAAAACCGCCAAGTAGCAAAAAGTGAATATATTAAACATTAAAGCTAAATAAGTAGAAAAGCGATATTATACTTTAACTAATTTAATAAAAAAATTTAATTAAAGTTCCTTTAAATTTTTATAAATCGACTTTTAATAGAGAATTGTCTTATTAGTATATACAACGTCGTGCTTTTAGTATATAATTAAAATTGTTTTCAAAAGTAAAATGTTAGAATTGTAAATAAGCAAAAATGTATAAACGGTAGGGGTTAACAAATAGCAGAGCGTATTTAGATAACTTAAGTTTAAAAAAAAAGTATAATTAAAAATAAAGCATTTATAATTATACTTAAACGTAATAAACTTTAAATAGTTAATTAAGACTTTTTAGTACAAAATTTTTTGCTTTACAGAGTAATAAAAATTTTTTTTTTTAAGTTTTTTAAACTGCTAATATGTAAAAAGTAAATAACAATATGTTTAACAGCAACGCTAGACAAGATGCTTTTATAAACAAGTAGCAAAGCGTTACTACGCAATTAAATATTTAAATCAAACAAATTAAATAAATAAGCAGTACTTATTCATAATTCAACTTTAGTAGTTTACAATTTATTGTTTTAAAAAATAATCGGAACTTTTTTTCTAATAAGTAATTTGCTAAATTAGCTAAGAAGCAAAAAGTAAATAACAATATACTCAAAAGCGACTAACAAGTTGTTTTACCTAAGAAACTATAGTATATCGATAAACTAAATATAATTTTGCACTTGATGTAAATAATAAATCAACTTAATATATAAAAACTAGAAATAAAAAAATTAAGCTCTATTTTTTATTTATAAATTCACTTTTAAAAGTTTCTTGACTTTTATAGTATATAAATTACATCTTTTGAAAACTATTTAAAACTTTTGCTTATTACGAATCATCGTCGTCGCTGTTATACGCGACCAACGAAACGTTACAATTAACCGATTTATAAACTTTTGCTTGCGACTCTTCATCATCCGAACCAAATTCTTTAATTTTTTTTTCCATTAAATTTAAATCGCTCGACTTCTTATTGCGAGTGGGCTCAACAAAGATTTCTTTGAATCTTCTCTTCCGAGAGGCGCTAGAAAAGTTTTTATTATCAGAACTTTCTGTTGCTGGTAAAATTTTTTTAGACTGCTGCGTAGCACTACTGGAAATTTCTACTGGAATTCCGATCTTTCGCCGGAAATCTTTATAATCCGCTTGAACTTTTAGAACAAGACTTTCACATAATCTTTTTGCTTGGTCCATTCCTTCCTGCGTGGGGTTACTAATAAAGTAATAATAAATATTAATAATTTTTTAATGTTTTTTTATACTTAAAATGCTTTATTACTATTCTTATTATACTTTTTAATTTTCTAAACTTTTTATTATATATTAGTTGTTAAATATTATAAAATAGTCATAATAAGATTAATAATAATAATAATACTTGTTTTATAATAATTTTTTAATACTTTTTTACTTGGATATTCTCATTATAAATTCTTTAATATCTTTACGTTTAAATATTTTTTCTTACTTTTATCGATATATCATAATTTCTTTTTAATAATTTTTCTAATACTTTTTTTAATTAAATATTTGTTTCAAATTTTTTGTTTTATATATATTTTTAATTAATATTTTATTTATTTTTATCATAATTTCTTTGATACTTTTTAATATAAATATTTTTTTTAATTATTCTTTCATAGTAATAATTTATTTTATAATTATTTTTTTAATACTTTTTTTACTTAAAATTTTTTTTTTACCTGTATCATTTTTATAATGATAATATTAATACTAATAAATTGCTATTATAATAATTCTTATTATAGATCTTATTTTTTTTCTTATTTAGATTTTATTTTACATTTTATATAATTATAATTTATTAATAATAATTATAATAATACGTTATTATGACAACTTCTTTATCACTTTTAATTTAAAATATTTTATTTTACTTTAACAGTAATTTATAATCTCTTTTTTAAACTTTATAATAAATTCTTTTTATTATATTTTTTCACTTTTCATATTTTTTATAATATTTTTTATATTTAATTCAAATATTTTATTCGTTCCATAATAATAATTTTACATATTTTATTTTAAAAATTAGTTAACTTTAATAATAATTTATGATTATTTTTTTTATTATACCTTTTTTATAGTAAATTTTTTATTATATTTATTATAATATTTTTTAATTTTTTTCAAATATTTAATTATATTTGTTATTATTATAACTATAATAATTTATTACTTTCTTTACTATACTTTTTTATATATAATTTCTTTTTTTTTTAATTTTTCTTTTTACTTTTTATAATTATTTTTATTGTGTCCAAATATTTTATTATATTATAACAATAATAATTTTAATATATTTTATTTGAATATTTATATTACTTTAATAATTTATTATTATATACTTTTTTTTTATAACAAATTCTTATTATAATATTTTTACTTTTCATACTTCATCTAATATTTTTTTCTAAATATTTTATCATTTTCAATATAATAATTTCTTTAGTACTTTCTTTATTATACTTTTTTATAAATAAATTCTTTTTTTATATTTTTTTCTACTAGTCATACTTTTTCTAATATTTGTATTTTTTCTTATATTTTATTATTTTCATTTTCATTATAATAATAATAATACTTTTTCAAATATTTTTTCCAATATTATTACTTTAATAATTTATTACTATTAAATATATACTTTTTAAAATAAATATATTTCACTTTTTTTTTTAAAATAATAATTACTTTTATTTTTTTCTTATTTTTCATTGAATTTATTATTATAAAATATATTATACAATATATATTTATAGTACAATATTATAAGTATATGCTTAGCAAATTTACTAGCGGTTTCTTATATTATTTCTACTATTATGTTCATAGAATTTACTATAAACTAATTAACTTTACTCTCGGTTAATAAATTTTATTATCATTTATATGTCAGCAGTTACCATATAATTTTTATATAAAAGTAAATTTAAGAATAATTATAATAAATATAAAGTAAATATTTCTTTTATAAAAAAAATTCATGTACTGTTATTTCTTTTACATATTAGTAGCAAGTTTTATTTGTACTTCTTTACTATTATTATTATTATTATTATTATTATTATTATTATTATTATTATTATTATTATTATTATTATTATTATTATTATTATTTATACTTTATCCAAATATACAAACGCTCAAAAGCTTCTTTTCCGTTATCTTCGATAAAACCGGAACCTCTTCCGCGTAGTTGAAGGCGTGAGTTTGTTTGCTGGCATATGTGCTGAAAGTATGAATTCTAATAAAAATAATAATAAAAAAGATAATAATAATAATATATAGTAGTAATAATAATAAAATAATAAAAGTGATAATAATACTAAATAATAAATAATAATGAATATAATAGAGATAATAATTATAATTTGTAGTAGTAATAAAAAAAATAATAATAGTAGTATACAATAATAATAATAATAACAGTAATAAATAATATAATTTAAAAAAAAAAAACATTCGGGCCGAGCAAATGGTGCTTCAAATCGAATCCCAAGACCGACTCGGCACCGACATAAACTTTATCTTGAATCATATAACCAGTCAGCTTGGGGGGCGGGATAGCGGCCGTTGACACGTGCAAGGGATAGACGGGCGGATAAGGGACAGGCACGGGCGGATAGGCATAAGGAGGGGCAAACATGTGAGAACCAGGCGGGGGTTGCGATTGACTCGAAAGAGGTTGAGAGCAAAAGGGATAATGAAAGCACGTGTCAGTTACTGCCGCAGAGCCAATGACGGCGTTGATCATCTCGACTGCTTCAGCAAGACTCGATTCGGTAGAGGCTTCGATGTGAAGGTACAGCGGCCTGTCCATGTGGGAAGTCACGTGGGCGTGTGTAAGTTGGCTATTTTCGTACTTTTGGCGTTCTTCAGGGTTCATATATGCGCCTGAAACGTAGAGGAGGTTTTATAATAATAATAATAATAATAATAATAATAATAATAATAATAATAATAATAATAATAATAATAATAATAATAATAATAATAATAATAATAATCATAATCATAATAAT